TATAGGCTTTCCTCAAATATGTTGATTTTAAGGTTGTCCGATGTGCTGTCATTGCAAGTCCTGGATTCACTAAGGTTAGATTCATTTTATTTGATGTTTGGTACTGCTAAAATATGGTGCTCATACATTGGTTCTTATGAGGAGTCTTGCTGTAGTTTTCTTATACTACTTATCACTTTTGTATTTACTTTTCTCATGTTGTTGGCTCGTTGCCATGAGATAAATAATTATATATAGTTGGCAGCCACAGGCATTCTTTATTTAAATTGATTATAAGGTTCTTGTCTTTTTCTGCAGGACCAATTTTATCGTCATCTGTTGCTAGAAGCTGAAAGGAAACAGCTGAGATCAATTATAGAGAACAAGTCACGCATAGTTCTTGTGCATACAGCTTCGGGATACAAGTATGGCATTTAGTTGTTTAATTTGATTGATTATTTCTGTTTGCTGAGGAAGCAATGTTGCTTCAGAAGTTTTTTTTTTTTCTTCTTAGCATACCTCTAGCTCTACTGTCAATTGAAATTGATGTATCATCTCATTGGAAAGGTTGGATACATTTAAATGGTTGTTAATCTTGAAGGTTCTGAACCTTTTATCTATTATATATTTCTGCTTTATGTTTAAGCAGTTGATAGTTTATCATCTCAAAATATTATAGCCACTTCTGCTTTTTAAGCATCTTGAGGATTTTTGAGTTTGTACCTGCACAACTTGTGTTAAAATTTTGTTAGCTCTCTTACCCCCCGTGTTTGGTGTTTTTGTGTCTAAGGGCCCTTTAGTCTTTACTCTTGTTTCTTTAAGAAGCATATTTTGTATTTTCTTCAAGAATTGGTTGGAATTATATTTGATATATTTGCTGCTTTCTCTTATAATCAGGCATAGCTTGAGGGAGGTTCTTGATGCGCCAAACGTGATGAATATGATAAAAGATACAAAGGCAGCCCAAGAGGTTACTCACATTTATGTTTATCATTTTGTCTTGCTTGTCATTTTTTCTCGGAGATCCTTGAAGTTTCTACTGACTGTTGTCTATTTTGTTTGATTTAGGTCCGTGCTCTTGAGGACTTTTTCAGTATGCTATCAAATGTCAGTTTCTAATCTTGAGATGTATGTTTGAATTGCTAACAATATGCTTGTTACTGAGATGCATGTCCAGTTAATGTGTGACGTCATCAATGGCTCATCTTAGACATTTAGATCTTGAAACATTTATGCGTTTTGATGTGGACTGTTCTTTAAGCATTTGCTGCTCTTCTTGATACAATCTTTCCTGAAATACTTATGGGTTATTATGTACTGTTCGTTTAGCTGCTCTTCCTGATACAATCTTTCCTGGAAGTAGTTTACCATATCCCCCTACTGGGAAATTAAGGCATTTTAATTATTGATTTTTTGTCGCTCTTTGTAAGTAGAGCACATAAACTATGCTCTCACAGTGGGAGGGCCAAAATGTTCTCTTCCTTTTTTTTTCCTGTTTGAAAGGATGCATTCATATATGGGCTTGACTGTTTTGGTTACAACTAAATAAATTGTGATCTCTTGGGCTAGGAAGAGTTGAGAGAAGAAGGGGAGGAGGGTAAGTGTTTAATGGACCATTTGATAGAAATGTTGACCTCATGTATTGATGAAATTCTTACTATTGCAGCTAAATTTGTATGTAAAGAGGGAATGAGGCCGAAATGTAATCTGATTGTATCATCATCTAGCTTTTGGCATAGTAATTTAAATTTCTTGCATTTGTATATCAGGACCTTGTCTTTTAAAGTAGGCAGCATTTGTAACTATTTATTTTATAGAGGTAGGGCTCTTTGCTTGATCTAATGTTCTTCGCTTTGTATTTCTTGTCAATGGACCTCCTATATATATACATATATTATATATTAATATATTTTTTAAATTTGTTTTATGAACTGCAGGATCCAGATCGTGCATGCTATGGTCCTAAGCATGTAGAAGTTGCCCATGAACGAATGGCTATACAAACGCTGCTTATCACAGATGAACAGTTCAGGTGCCTTGCTTGAGCTTTTTCTGGTAATAAATTTATTTGAGGATCCTGTTGCATTTCTTGGCTTTGATATCTTCATATATATCTATACGCCCCCGAACAATTGCCCCTCCTGAATTTCTTATATCAGACATAAAAGTGATAAAACTGATGTACATTGGATCTTGTCTGTTTGTTCCCATTGATTCTCCTGACGAGATGTTTTGTTTCAAAACCCAATATAAGTTGATCTTAGAAATCAATAGTATTCTAGCAATAGATCTCAATATCAAATGGTTAAAGCTTGTACCTCATGGGCTCTCCTTGCTTCTTCTACAACACTGTCTTGTATGTTAAGATTCAACTCTTCAGTTAGCTGTATGCAATGGAGGCTCTATGTTTCATGTAATCCATATCTTTATATCCTAACAATTTTTATTTATAATTGTGGTAGTATGTTCACTTCCTTGGGCCAATGTTCATGTGATTATTCATTTTACATGTTACTCTGTAGCTGTACAGTTTTTCTTATTATTTTGAAATGGTCATCAGGAATGCTGACATTGCAACACGGAAAAAATATGTCAGCCTGGTCAATTCAGTCAAAGATTCTGGAGGAAGTGTTCATATATTCTCGTCCATGCATGTCTCAGGGGAGCGTAAGTACTTCTGTCCAGTGCTATAAACATTTTGAAGCTACATTTTTTTTTTTTTTTGCAAATTATAGGATTCATATTGTCAGTTTGACTCCATCAAGTCAACTGCGATTGTTAGTTGGATATGGATAGTGTGCTGATTGCATAGGAAACTGGCATCTAAACATATGGAATTAATATATCTTTGGTGTAATTTTGGGATTATGGAAGATGTCCCACACGAAAATTTGAAAACAATGTAGGATGTGTAGATTTCATCCCATACTGTTAATCAAAGGCTTACTTCCATGAGTGGTGAAGTGGAAGATACTTCAATTTTCTTGATTTATTTTTGGCTGAATAAGGATTATAAAAATATTTTCTTTTAAGGAAACTACTTCTGGCTCATATTCCATATACCTCTCTTTTCTTCCAATCGTTACCTTTGGCATGTTCTTGTTCTCCCTACTCTGCCTTGATGAGTCAATTGCACTGATTTATGGAACGCTAAATGATTTGGTGCTTGCTTCTTGAATCATGAATAATTAAGATAGCTGACAAATTGATCTTTTAGATGTTCAAGGAGATATGGTGAAAAAAAAATTCCAAAAAGAAAAGAAAGTCTGAATGTATAAAGTGACCAAAGAAGGGTCCTTTTTTTTTCACTTTCTATGTCTTTCTATTTATCTGCCTAGCTATCTAATTAAACTATTTATAATGCCCTGTGGATGCAGAATTGGCACAGCTGACTGGCATTGCAGCAATTCTTCGCTTCCCTCTCCCTGATCTCGATGATATTGAAATGTGATCGACGTAGATCTATGGAAAGACCAACTTTGTACACCACTAATTATTACTGAAACATACTGAAAATTGTATATCACAAACTCTGTTAGCGACCCCTTTTCCTTCCAAGACTTAAAGTCTTGGAAGTTGTATGTTATAATTAAGTTATAGTCTAAGTTGCGAAATATGATTCATTTCTTCGTAGTGTGTTGTAATGTCAGGTAATAATTCTACTATTCAGATTCTTTCTTGTAGCATCCCATGTAACACTACATTCTTTGGTTGACTAAAGCTATATTTTATGCTTCATTTATAAGATCTGGTTAATTTTTTGGTTGATCAATGATTAGATATGCAGCATGCCCCTTCATAATCACATTTACAGCAATTCTGATGTAAAAAAACACGACTATATGCATCAATGTTATAATAATTGCAAAGATCAGCACAATCCATTTTGTTTGCATATTTACTTGTTAAATAGTCATTTCCAGAAATAACAAAAGGCTGTGTTGCAGACGTGAAGCTTTCTAAAGCAGTCAATATTGCAAGAGTTGAACTTGTTGAGACAATAAAAGCAGAATATTTTTCCTTAATTTTCAAGTTATTATGACAATTTAAGTTGAAGCGAGGAAGCTGTGTTCATGCATTAGATAAGAAACAACACTGCTTGGAAGAGCTTATTACCAGGTTTGATTACAAATTAACAATCATTTGCAGTGGGATGAGGTTTGGAGGATCTTTCACAAGTAACACAAAAAATGTTATCTTGTATCTGCTTTGGATTTAGCGAATCCAAATAGTATTCTGTGCAACAATCTTGTTGGCTTCATATCCTTGTTTGAAAATCCATTCTTTATAGCAAAGCCATGATATTTAGATCACTGTGTTCACATCTTAGTTCCATTTCCTTTTGGAATTGGTGCGTATTACTATGAAGCACGGGAAAACGTGTCAAAAAATGTGTACTTGACTCAAGGTAGTGGATATAATGGTATGGATATTGGATATAGTAATCTTATACTTATAGAAAAGTGCATTGACAAACGTGTCTAGTCAAAATGATGCATGTACTAAGAAACAGAGAAAGGGATGCATCACTTGTATAAAATGAGTATACATAATTTGTATCAAATAAGTTCATTCTTCTTTGAATATTTTCATGTACAGAGAGATAATGTATTGATATATAATATTTTTGTATAAAATTGATTCAACAACTCTTATAAACATCGAAGGTTTCGTGGTGTAGTTGGTTATCACGTCAGTCTAACACACTGAAGGTCCCCAGTTCGAGCCTGGGCGAAGCCAAATTTTTGTACTCTTATCAGTATATTAAGATGCACTTCATTTTGTAATAAAATAGAAATATATAATAACATCACTACATGTACCCAGTTCGAACCTGGGCGAAGCCATTTTGAAAAACAATTTTTTACTGATGTAGTAGATCTATATTTTAATTTTGTGATATTATTTTATAATTCGATCTATTAAACAAAAAAGGTTTCGTGGTGTAGTTGGTTATCACGTCAGTCTAACACACTGAAGGTCCCCAGTTCGAACCTGGGCGAAGCCATTTTTTATTAATGGCGTCACTTTGAGAAAGAAAACGAAGTTTTTTGCGGCCTTCATCAGTTTGAAGTCTTCAATATACGGTAAATCCCTAATTTTTTTTCTTCTCTTTCTCTTTATTGAATCGATACTTTTGTTTAATTTGTGGAGATAATGTGTAAATTTTGAATTGCTTTCTTAAATTCGAACCCTAATTTTAACTATTGATTTACATTTTACCATATTTGTTTTTTAATTACTTTGTGAATGTGGCGTAGTCTTTTCAAGTTGAAAAATTGATATACTTAACCGCCATATTAGATTATGATTTTTGGTAATTATACAATGATTTTAATTGAAGTTCTTTGGGTTTTATTGAATATGTATTGGATTAAACTGCATTTTAGGGTTGTCAATTGGATTGCTTGTTGAAAATTGTAAGTTAGTCCAATTATTTATTGAAAATTGATATCCAGTTTATGTGAATTTTTGAAGTATTTGAGGGTAGCAAAAGATCCGACCTTAGCTCAGTTGGTAGAGCGGAGGACTGTAGTTGATCAGCAGATTAATCCTTAGGTTGCTGGTTCGATTCCGGCTTTCGGAATTAATACTTGTGTTTAGGATTATTAGCTGGCTATATAAACCTTAATTTTAGCGTAGTCGGATTTGGGTATTGCTAAAAAACATGAGCAGTTGAGCAGACCTTGGTTCTGTTATAATGATATCAATGATATTAAGTCAACCTTTTGCTCGTTTAGTCGTCTTTACTGCTGCAAAATTTAATATCCTTCTCTTTTTGCAAGTTGGTATTGTTTATAGATTACAGAAACAATAATTAGGGACATGACATCAACTTATCTGCTGGAATTATCAACTTCTTAATATAGAATATAGATTAATGTTACCAGATTGACGAAGACATAATAATCTTTGAAAAGTCCAAGTCTTTGTCTGATGAATAGAAAAGCAGGTTACTCCTATTAATGATTGAGATACAGCAAGTATCAATCTCGTGAGTTTGTTTTATACTTGTAACTTAGGGTTCACTTCAACTTAATTTCAGTTCAGTTCAGCTCCTAATTTCCTTATCTCATAAAATATTTATTTCAGCTCAGTTCAGTCGAGCTAAGTTTAGTCTTATGTTTGCGTTGCTGTGCTTAGATTTTTTTCAGCAGCATGTTACAATGTTAGAACGATTGCCCTCTCATTCAGCTTGAGTGAATACAAATGGCTAACAGCTAAGCGTGTTGCAAATGCTGGTTGTGTGGCTTGTTGTAGCTTTTAGTGAAGTCATTGTCCCATATCCCATGGTGGTTATAGCGATTTCTGCATTTGAAGGTCATGGGGTATGTAGTAAAGGGATAATTTGTGAAATTGGATTTTTTTTCGGAATGATGGTAAATAATCAGTCCTTGTTAAAGCCATTTTTAGAATTATAACTTTGGACACCTTCAGCAGCTTAGTTTTGACCCTTTTTTTTTCCTTTCTTATTTAATGCAATACATCACCTTTTCAACAGTTATGTCCATCTGCTAAATTTGACAAGGGACATGAGAAGCTGCCTGCTAAATGATCTGTGGCCCCTTTTCACAACTTTTTATTTTTTATTTTATTTTGGTGTGTGATTGTGGCCAACATTTCTTGATCAATGTTGAATTTTGTGGCTGAAATAGTAGGTCAGTGTTAATTAACTATGGAAAAGCAAATTAGCAAAAGTTAATGTATAGTATAATATATGGGAATTTTCTAAGAAGAAAAGTCTTTTTTCCTGGGATAACTTTGACTATGTAAATTGATTAAATCTTGTTGCTTCTTTTTTTCCCCCACAGTGGACAATATGCTAAATTTACACAACTCCCTGTATTATTCATATGTAGTTGACATGTCATAGGGTCTTCTATGTGACTTAAGTTTATTATAGATTATGTGGATTGTAAAAAGACTTGAAAGTCAAAGAAGCATGGCCTTGATAGACAGTTTAAAGATGCATAGCCTGCCATTAAAATATCCAGTCCACTTGATTATAGAGTATGAGATAGCTTAAGATCAGTCTTATTGTACTGCATATCAGAAAGGCTGAGAAATATTCCTAAAAAAAATGTTATGCCTGTTGTTGCTCCTGCTTCAGCTAGAATCATTCCTATGGCTAGCTGCAGGCGGTAATATTTCTATGCCTAATTGTCCAGATCACTGTGGTAATGTCAAGATTCCATACCCTTTTGGAATTGGGCCCAATTGCTACCATGACAAATGGTACGAGATAATTTGTAATAGTAATAATAATTCTGTTCTTTCTCCAAAACCGTTTTTGCGCCATTTCAATCTTGAGGTGCTGGACATTAATTGGCCTGGAAGGTACTCCCCTCTAGGTAGACAAGTGAATGATCAGGAAGCAGATGATCAAAGACTTATAGTAAATCTCCTCCCTAAAAACTTTTGTGGAAGTAGCACAGCAGTATTTCACGGATTCGCTACTTCAGTAGTCAAAGGCGTCGACTTCAATGGGAGTCCATTCCGTTATTCTAGGTGGTTCAATGTTTTTATGGTGGAGGGTTGTGGCGGAAGTGTTGTTTTGCAAAAAAGGGGTGGAGAAATTATGACTGGCTGTGCTTCAGTTTGTTCGAATGAAGGTGTAAGCATGAACAAAAGTAATTGTTATGGAGTTGGATGTTGCCAAGCCTCTCTCTTGTCATCTCCAACGGGTGACTACCTGAACAGGGAGGAGGGCTTAGATTTTTATCAGATAGCTCTTGATTACACGGGATTTTCTAATTTCAGCACCTGCAATGTGTCAGCAGCCTTGATTGAAAGTTACTCGGTGAAGAAGTTGTCTGGGAAACTATCAAATCTAAAAGCATTCCCTGCGGTTTTAGAATGGACTCCTAAATACATTATGATACCTCGAAAAAAGCCGTATATGAATTATGACAATTTCAGTTGTAATTATGACAATAATAATGCTGTAAGTTGTACATGCGGTTTTCCCTATGAGGGAAATCCCTTTCTGCCGGACGGATGTCAAGGTAAACTCTTACTGTAATTGTTTTTATCTTCAACGTAGCTTGTTATTTGCCTGTATCATTATTTCCTGAAAACTCATTCGATCTTGTTTTTCTCAGTTGTAACAGCATGTCACAAGTGCAGGGATCGTTGTGATATGGCCTTTTCTGATGACAAAGGTTACTACACTAATTATTACTGTAAAAAAAATCATAAGTTAGAGCTGGCTTCCATTCTTGGTAAGTACATCAAAAGCTGCCTGTAATGGCTCAATCTACTCATATTGTTTGCTTCCATGCTGTATTGATAATGTGTAATCACAAACTTGCTCTAAAGCTGATTATTCCATAATCAAGTAGTTTTGTTAATCTTGTCAATTCCCTGAATTACTCAGTTTGTCATAGTTGTGTTAGACTGTTAGTTGTTCATTTGAGTTCTAATGCACTTCCTTATGTATTGCTGACTGGCCAAGTTCAGTTTTGAATAAGATCAAAAATTCAAAAAGTAAAATTGAAGGAAACCTGTAGAAACTAGAAAGTGTAACTGTGGAAATTACTACTTCGTATTTATCATTTGTTGGGATGTTTAGTGTGGAAAGTTGTTGAAAAGTTAGTGATTAATTTTTCATGTTTGGCTTGATGCGAGGAAATCTATTGAAAATGTATAGCTTAACTTGTGTTCCTAATTTTCAATAGCTTTCAGCAACTTTTTATTTTTATTTTTATCATTTCTTAAGGGAAATTAATTGAAAATTAAACTTACCCTAGAGGCTTCCTCATATTTCTTTGATTTAAATTTTTTTTTTTTATCCTTGGTAATTTTAATCTTTTCATAAAATATCCATAGGTTTCTATAGTACAATTTTACTTAGTTTTCCTCGTTAAACACAAATTTCAAAAAGAACACTAGTAACTCTGAAAAGGTTGTTGCACTTTTAATTCTTTTTTGTTTTGTGTTATCATCTTAGTTAGGAATATATGTCCTGGGCTTCTTACAAGGCCTACATATGTCCTGGGTTTCTTACAAGGCCTACATTCTCAATCTCTTCAATCTTACAAATTTGGTGCTTAGTTATTGTGTTTTTACCTCTGATCTACTCATGTACAGAATTGTCTAAACCCCATTATGATTGATGTTATGTACATAATATTGTTTTCAGCGTTTAGCATAGGCTTGGGATTAGTGCTTTTGGTCCTAGGTTGCTACTGGCTCTATAAATTCGTAAAGAAGAGAAAAGAGATGAAACTTAAAGCTAAATACTTCAAGATTAATGGTGGTTTGCTATTGCAACAGCAAATGTCTTCCACTGATGGTGTTGTTGAGAACACTAAAATTTTTGCTGCAACTGAGCTGGAGAAAGCCACTGACGGTTTCAGTGAAAGCAGAATACTTGGCCAAGGAGGCCAAGGTACGGTCTATAAAGGTATGTTACTGGATGGAAGAATTGTGGCCATAAAGAAATCTAAAAAGGTAGATGAGAGCCAATTGGAACAGTTTATTAATGAAGTGGTTATCCTTTCTCAAATCAATCACCGGAATGTGGTAAAATTGATAGGCTGCTGTTTGGAGACTGAGGTTCCTTTGCTTGTCTATGAGTTCGTCTACAATGGAACGCTATATCAGCATTTACATAATGATACTGAAGATTTTCATGTCTCTTGGAAAATGCGCTTGCAAATTGCAGCAGAATCAGCTGGTGCTCTAGCATACCTGCATTCATCTTCATCTGCTCCTATTTATCACAGAGACATCAAATCATCCAATATACTTTTGGATGAAAAATTCAGAGCAAAGGTTTCAGATTTTGGGACTTCAAGAGCTATTACCATTGAGCAAACTCATGTGACTACCTGTGTTCTAGGCACATATGGTTATTTGGACCCAGAGTACTTTCAATCAAATCAGTTTACTGAGAAAAGTGATGTATACAGCTTTGGTGTAGTCCTGGTTGAGCTTATCACTGGTAAGAAACCAATTTGCCCAACCAAAGAGGGAGGATGGATTAGCTTGGCTGTTGAATTTCTTTCCTATATGGAAAGTTCTAGTCTATCTGATATTCTGGACGCTCGAGTTGTAGATGAGGGTAAGGAAGAGGAGTTTGTGGTTGTTGCTAACCTTGCAAGACAGTGCCTAGAAATGAAAGGGAAGCAACGACCTACTATGAAAGAAATTGCAGTTTTACTAGATGGTATCAGGTCACACCACCCCCCTAATTTCAGGGAACCAATTCCACCAGGAAGCAAGCATGTGGTTACAGAAATGGTTAGCACACATAGCGGTCCTTTCAGTGTAGAAATGCTCTCTTCAGATGACGGTCCTTCCAATTCCATGGAAGTCCAACCACTTATGGTCAACATCTGACAATTGTACGGTACTTTCTGAAGACTTCTGCTGTAGTAATTAATTATACAAAATTGTTTACTAAACTGGAAGTTTGTTAGATACTGTGTTTACCTTCTTGTATTGGGAGCTAGCTTCTCAACCACTTATCTAATTGTATAATTATTGTGCTGCTTAAGAAGCAAATAATTTGCTTTACCCCTTCTGTTTGAAGGAAGCTTAATTGTAGTCATGGTTTTGTTATACAAACCGGTTTTATTTCATGAACACCATAGAAGTGAACTTAGCTTATTTTGTCCTGTTGAATGCAACTTCCATATATCTTATCCCTTCACCAGTTCACCGCCTTCTTGATCCGCACATTGCTGGGACCAATGATTTTATGTAACCAGCCATGCTTAAGACAATCATACTAGCAATGACTAAATTAGTGTTGGGTACAATTTTCTATCAACTTTTTTAGATAGCTACCACCAACGCTTGTCTTAATGGAGGTCTTCAGAAGCATCAGTGTCGTGTGTGTATGTTAAGAGGTAGATACTAGAGAGACTTTTCATGTCTGATCCGACCTTGCTGTCATCCTGTTCCTAATGCTCTTGTCTTCTGAGAACAATAATGTTTGAATATTATCTTAATAATGCTCTTAAATTGATTTGGACTGAACACTAGATGGAGTATTTTGCTGTCACTCCTTTGTGAATACCTACACTCGAACATGACGTAATCATTTGGTGAATATGGCTAATATATCTTTGTCCATGTTGAATTTTATGCCATTATGATAGATGTATGTTACAAAGTATTCAATGAAAGTTGATATTTGGGTATAGTACATGGGAATTTCTAAGAAGGCAAGTCTTTTGTGCATGATAAAACTTTAAATAGCACAACATTTTTTTTTTGGACTTTAATATCTTTTCTAAATTTAATTTGTAATTCGTATATATGCATGGAAAAATACACTTCAACTTCTTCTTCTACTTGAACGCCTCAATTCCATTAGTGGGGTTGGCTACATGAACCAACATAAGGATTTCCCAGAAGGTCAACCACCTTATTACTACTCTCAATCATTGTGGTTCATGTCAAGCGATGTGATAAAGTTTACACTGGTTGTCACTGGCTTACCATATCCCTCCTCCTTTATCCAGGCTTGAGATTGATAACCGAAAACCCATTGGTGGAGTTAAAAAAATAAATAAAAAATAATCACACTTCAACTAATGTAATTAATGTTTTATTCATGCTTATATCCCCTTTTAGCTCTTTATAAACAGTCCTTAAATTTTTATGTATAATTTTCCTTTGATTTTAGCTATAAAACACATCACCTTTAATTTTTAACGTCTTTCTATCTTTGATAGGACTTGAGTTTGTTTTATATTTTGTGGATTACCTAGAAGATGGGTCTATGATAGGGACTTTGATATTCGGAAAATAAGACTTGGAAAAGTCCTAGAAGAATGAATGGTCATGAAAGTAAGACTGTTAAGAGATGCATAGCCAGGCAGTTAAATATCCCGTATACTTGCTTAATGATTATAATACGAGATTGCTTAAGTTCAGTTTTATTGTACTTAATTACATTACACTAAGAAAACCTCTTCAAAAAATATAGAATGGTATGCATGTTGTTGTTCCTGCTTCTGCTAGAATCATTCCTATGGCTAGCTGCAGGCGGTAATATGCCTAGTATTTCATTGCCTAACTGTCCAGATCACTGTGGTAATGTCCGAATTCCACACCCTTTTGGAATTGGGCCTAATTGCTGCCGTGACAAAGGGTACGAGATCATTTGTAATGGATCTGCTCATTCTCCAAAACTGTTCTTGCGTCAATACAATGTCGAGGTGCTGGAAATTAATTGGCCTGGAATGTACTCTCGTGTAGACAAAAGATGGGATGGCCTGGTAGCAGACAGACAAAGACTAAAAATTAATGTTCCCCTTAGAAGCTTTTGTGGAACTAACACAGCTGAGGTACATGCAAACGCTACTTCAGTAGTTAAAAGCATTGACTTCCACGGGAGTCCATACCGTTTTTCTAGGTGGTTGAATGTGTTTATGGTGGAGGGTTGTGGCAGAAGTGTTGTTTTGCAGAAAAGGAGCGGAGAAAATTTGACTGGTTGTGCTGCACTTTGTGCCAACGAAGGTGCAAGCATGAACACAAGTAATTGTTATGGAGTTGGATGTTGCCAAGCCTCACTCTTGTCATCAGGTAACTTCGTTGATAAGGGGAAGGGCTTAGATTTTTATCAGATGATTCTTGATCAGACTGGACTATCTAATTTCAGCACCTGCAATGTGTCAGCAGCCTTGATCGAGACTGGCTCGGTGAAGAAGTTGTCCGGAAAACTATTAAATTTGAAAGAATTTCCTGCAGTTTTAGAATGGAAATTTAGTGACATATTTCAACAAGAACAGTGGGTGGGGACAAAAGACAATGTCACTTGTTATTTTGATGAATTTAATGGTGTACTGTGTCATTGTAATTTTCCTTATGAAGGAAATGCCTATCGCCCCTTAGGTTGCCAAGGTAAACGGAAATATCTTACGTTCTATTTGTTTTTATCAATGTACTTTGTAGTTTTTAGTATTATACATGGTAAACTAATTTAATCTTCATTTTTTCCATATCAGTTGTGAAAGAATGTCGTAAGTGCAGAAGTCGTTGTACTTTGGGCTATACAAATCTCCCAGGTCCTTACGCCTATTTTTCCTGTGAAAAAAATGAAACGTTGAAGCTAGCTTTGATTCTTGGTAAGTACATCAAAAGCTTCCAGCAATGGTCCAATGTGCTCAATCTGCTCATAATATTTACTTCAGCATTGTATTGATAATTTTTCATTACAAACTTGTTCCAAGCTGAATAATTTGCCTTTTCCACTGACCTCATCAATTATTTCAAAAATAAATTCTCTGCTTGTCATTGTTGTGCTAGTTGATCATCTGAGATTTAATACACCCCCCTGCATTTTGTTGATCTGCCTGGTTCGTATCTTTGAATAATATGAAGAAAAGAAAAGACTTTTCTGTTCGCATTAGTGGCTGTCGGCCTGTCATCATTGTTGGTGAATGCTGATGATAATTTGTTTTGATAAATTGTTGGCAGAAAGAAGATGTCTGTTCAGGAGTGTATGCCATTTCTTTTCCATGTTATCTATAGATTTCTACAATTTTTCTAAGTTTTCCTTGTTAAAAATAGACTGTAATATTTTACAAGTCATTTCCTGTTTATTACCATCTTAGCCATGAATATTTTCAATCTTACAAATTGAATGCCTATATTGGGATGGAGTGAATGTGAGTTTATTGTGCTTGTTTTCCTTAACCTTCTCTAGATTTGAATTTTATAAATTCTGTATTTGATGTTGTGTACATAATAATGTTTTCAGCATTCAGCATAGGCGTGGGATTAGTTCTTTTGGTCTTAGGTTGCTACTGGCTTTATAAATTCATTAAGAAGAAAAAAGAGATGAAACAGAAAGCTAAATACTTCAAGATAAATGGTGGTTTGTTACTACAACAACAATTGTCTTCCGAAGATGGTGTTGTTGAGAACACTAAAATTTTTGCTATAACTGAGCTGGAGAAAGCCACTGACGGTTTCAATGAAAACAGAATACTTGGCCAAGGAGGTCAAGGTACGGTCTACAAAGGTATGTTACTAGATGGAAGAATTGTGGCCGTAAAGAAATCTAAAAAGGTAGATGAGAGCCAATTGGAACAATTTATTAATGAAGTGGTTATCCTTTCTCAAATCAATCACCGAAATGTGGTCAAATTGATAGGCTGCTGTTTGGAGACTGAGGTCCCTTTGCTTGTCTATGAGTTCATCCATAATGGAACGCTATATCAGCATTTACATAATGCTACCGAAGATTTTCATGTCTCTTGGAAAATGCGCTTGCAAATTGCAGCAGAATCAGCAGGTGCTCTAGCATACCTGCATTCATCTTCATCTGCTCCTATTTATCACAGAGACATCAAATCATCCAATATACTTTTGGATGAAAAATTCAGAGCAAAGGTTTCAGATTTTGGGACTTCAAGAGCTATTACCATTGAGCAAACTCATGTGACTACCTGTGTTCTAGGCACATATGGTTATTTGGACCCAGAGTACTTTCAATCAAATCAGTTTACTGAGAAAAGCGATGTATACAGCTTTGGTGTAGTCCTGGTTGAGCTTATCACTGGCAAGAAACCAATCTGCCCAACCAAAGAGGGAGGATGGATTAGCTTGGCTGTTGAATTTCTTTCCCACATGGAAAGTTCTAGTCTCTCCGAAATTCTGGATGCTCGAGTTGTAGATGAGTGTAAGGAAGAGGAGTTTGTGGCTGTTGCTAACCTAGCAAGACAATGCCTAGAAATGAAAGGGAAGCAACGGCCTACTATGAAAGAAATTTCAGTTTTACTAGATGGTATCAGGTCGCACCACCCCCTTCATTTCAAAGGACCAATTCCGCCAGAAAGCAAGTATGTGGTTACAGAAATGGTTAGCACCCATAGCGGTCCTTTCAGTATAGACATGCTCTCTTCAGATGATGGTCCCTCTACTTCCATGGAAGTCCAACCACTTATTGTCAACATCTGACAGTTTTACGGTACTTTCTGGAGACTTTTTCTGTAGTAATTATACAAAATTGTAGCTTATTACATCTGTGTGTTAAACTGGAAGTTTGTTAGATACTGTGTTTACCTTCTTGTATTAGGAGCTGCCTTCTCGACCACTTGTCTAATTGTATAATAATTGTGCTGCTTCAGAAGCAAATATTTGGCTTTATCCCTTTTGTTGGAAGGAAGCTTAATTGTAATCATGGTTATTTGAATTTCTTATAGAAAACATTTTTAGTTCATGAACACCATAGGAAGTGAACTTGTTTTTTCCGGATTGTAGATCTGCACACTGCTGGGACCAATGATTAAATGCAACCAAACAGATACTAACAATCATACTACTTTTTATTCATGGATGCATCATACGAAGTAATATTTAAAAAGTAACCTGCTGATTCTGAAACTAAATAGAAAAATTGATCATAGACCATTTGCAACATGATAATCTGAAACTAACATAAGCTACTGATGCCCAAATGTTCTGCTAAGTTGCTGATCAATAAGCCTATGGCAGGAGCAATCTTGATCAAATCTTCATAAAATACAACCTAAATTCATTCTGTCACAGCAATTCTGTCCATGATCTTCGAAACTACATCTTTGGACTCCTCCAGAAGTTTAATGCTCTTATTGAGCCTTTCTCTCTTTCCCGCCACAGCTGGAGACTCTTCTAGCATCCTCTCAACGCCTCCTCCGTAAGGTCCCATCACTTCATTCACAACCTCACCCTCCAATTCATTGTTCACTAAATTCTGAATACTAAACAGCAAATGGAGAGCTATGGAATCCACCAACCTCTTCAAAACAATCTTCCAGTATGACATCATTCGCATCTTCATGTCAAAAGCTTGCTCAGCTAGGTGCTTATACTTTTGTAAATGTGCCAAATCAACCTTACCAAGTCCTTCGAATTCCATGCTGGTTACCTTTTTACCTGTATTCACCTGTACAGATTTGCCTTCCACAATATTCATAAACTTATCCTGATGCGACATAAGCCGATTCCAGACAGATAGGTATTGTGAATCACAAGTATAGTCAGCATATGTCTCCATCTGCACAATCTCCTTGACACGAATAATTGACTGATCTTTCTTCCTAGAAATCAGATTAACTGCAGCTCTTCTGCAGGAGCTCTGAAGAGATGGGTAATTGTCAGAATGCTGCATTATAATGGAGAGCGCTGCACTTTCTACATATCCCCAAAATTTAGTCATGAATTCAGCCGGAGTTTGTGATATTTCCTTCACTTCCCTCTGCAATAAAGTGATAAAAGCTGAGTGAGGAAGGAAATTGGGTAGTCCAATTCCCTTAGCTTCCTCAAGAACTTGAATTTCAACCTTTAGGAAATTACCTAATTTAGTTTCATCTTTCTTTTTTGAATGCATAAGCTCTGAAAACCCGCGTAGCATCTCAGCTAAACGAGCTTTGCAATGCATATTCATATCATCAGGGTACTCATCGTACTCTCCTCTAATAAGGATCTTCCTTAGGGATTCTTTCACTGATCCCATAATCTGCATGAATCCTGTCATAGCCTCAGCCACAGACGATAGGTTCTGAGGCAAGTTGTTCAGTTCATCAACATAAGCATTCAACTTAGTATTAATCTGATGCACAATATTGGGCAAGCATTTTGAAATAATGCTAGCCTGAATGTGAACCAACCTCTGAGCAAGCTCCGGGATGCCTACTATCGATTTATCAATCCTTGACAGCAAAGGGTGGGACTCAAACAGTCTTGCCTCTTCCAATCGTGCTTCTTCATATGTTTCTTGCCCAATCCTGTTCCTAACACACACATAGCCTAGCCCAATTATGACATCATCATTGGTTACCTTCTCTAACAAACCTTCTGGAGCTTTATCAACATTGGTTACCTTCTCTAACACACACATAGCCTAGAGTCCTCTGCCCATTTTATCAACATTCTGTGACATCATAATTGACTCACAAGTCGAAAAATCCACTGTTGCAGACAGAACATTCAAAATGATACTCTCTTCAGGGGTAATATACTCCATTATAATATCCCTGATTTTTTCATATATGTTTGCTGGTTGGCCTCGGACTGGCACTCGGGTGATCCCAGGGAGATCAACCATGGTCAAGTCAGGAACTCCTTTTTTCCTGACTATAAGTGTTATTGGAGTACTACATATTCCTTTGGCTTTTCCTGCAATTTCTTGAGTAGCCGAGTTTATTGCTTCAGTGACATGAGCTTCATCTGTTTGCAAGACTTTACCCATGTACTCAAGGGAGAGTTGTGGGGTCAGGTCAGACTGGTGCTGAAGGCGCATGATGAGTGGGACTCGAGTGCAGATACCTTGACCTCTAGGTAGGCTAATACCTGCTAAGGACTCTAAGACACTAGATTTTCCTGATGATTGGTCACCTACAACGACGATTGTAGGTAGTTGGATGCCTTCCTTCATGACTTTGAGTGTTCGCAGCTTGTCGACTGCATCGAGGAGAGGGCGTATTTGATCATTGTATGAGGAGATGAGTGGTGGTGGGACTGGGATATCATGCTCATCAGCATGAGTAGTATCAGTAGGTACAAGGGATTTGTTCATGTCTTTATCATTGAGGTTTGTTTTGGTGGGCTTTCTAGCTGATTTCGGCTTATTTTGTTGTACCATTTTTTGGAAAAATGTCTCAAGGATAATATGTTTCTAGGAAGTGTTGTGGAGGAGATGATGAGGATTATAGCCAGCAAAAAATTAGAAGTATTACTTGGATACTTATAAAAGGGAATAAATTTGACTTAAAAGCAGTGAAACTGAATGGATGGAAGTTGAAGTGATTCATGCAAGGTTAAACCTTTTTAGTTGATCATTATAGTAATGTCAAAGGACTGCCTAGTGAAGTTCCTGTTAATGTATCTAGCCCTATTATATGTTGTGATTAAACCATCGTCTCAATTAATGCTATTGGTTATCAATTGAAACCCTTGGCATTTTGTGAAGGTACGTAAAATACATACTCCTTTTGTCTGTTAAAAATTGTCCTATTACGATGTTGTCTTTCGTAACTCTCTGTTACAAAAATACAAATATTGTTCATCTCAGACTTGCCAATAAATTTTTATCCTTTTTAAAAGATAGTCATCATTTTGAAGTTGCGATTGTTTTGGTGCATTGTACTTCCACACTCCTAAACAAGATAATTGTGTTAAAAACAACACAACAACAAACAAAAATAATACAGTAGTATATAGAATTGTCAATAACATAAGATTTCTTCATTTCACCAAAATATTAATTAAAGCTTTAGGATATATAATATTACCTTGCTTGACCCTCCCTTCAAAAACAATATTACCTTGCTTGACATGTGAAGATAAAATAAAAACTATTTAACTTTTATATAGGTAAATGAAGAAAGCTTCAATCATTATTTTCTTAAATTCAAGTAACTGCATTGGTTTTTCTTAAATCAGTGCCTTTGAGTTTATCTCGATTGTCTTCCATGCTAAATAAGTGATCGCCTTCACGAGGACATTGTAAGTATGACTACACCACATTTAAAGATGTAAAAAAATTCCATTCCAAAACAAAATAAAATCAAATTGAAATATAGATTTGTATGAACACAATATTTTTTTTTTTTTTTTTTTGGTGAAAATGAACACAATAATTTAATATGTCTCAAATATAAAATAGTTCTGACTTGACTTCACCGAACCCAACCCACACACCCACATTGACACCTCTACTACCCAACCCAAAGTCTGAATGTATAAAGTGAACAAAGAAGGGTCCTTTTTTTTCACTTTCTATGTCTTTCTATTTATCTGCCTAGCTATCTAATTAAACTATTTATAATGCCCTGTGGATGCAGAATTGGCACAGCTGACTGGCATTGCAGCAATTCTTCGCTTCCCTCTCCCTGATCTCGATGATATTGAAATGTGATCGACGTAGATCTATGGAAAGACCAACTTTGTACACCACTAATTATTACTGAAACATACTGAAAATTGTATATCACAAACTCTGTTAGCGACCCCTTTTCCTTCCAAGACTTAAAGTCTTGGAAGTTGTATGTTATAATTAAGTTATAGTCTAAGTTGCGAAATATGATTCATTTCTTCGTAGTGTGTTGTAATGTCAGGTAATAATTCTACTATTCAGATTCTTTCTTGTAGCATCCCATGTAACACTACATTCTTTGGTTGTTGTGTTATGTGTAGCAGACACACTCTTAATTGTTGCATTAGTAGCAGGAATGTTCTCACTTTGTTCACTTAAAAAAAACAGAATTATTTTATATAATATGATATTAAAGTATGAACTAATTTATACAATGAAGAAGATAATTAGTTATTTTGGTATAAAGCTTTTATACCTTATTGTTTGATTTGTCTCTGGTGGTCTTGATTTTGACATAACAAATTTCACTCGAATCTTTTTTTTTTTTCACTAAAATTTTAAGAATTACCTAATAAGTTTGGTATATATATACAATGTACAATAATTGAATGTAAAAACAATTATTTTATACATATAAACTTACTTGTTTAAAGTGTATCTTTCATAACTATTACCATATTCATTTTGTTCTATAACCTTCTTTAGAGTTAATGGTTCAGATTTCCCATCTCTAAATTAAAGCAAGTGTATCACTCTAAATGGCACATCACTACATTATAAATTAATTACATGACATTAGTTTGAATGCATATCACTAAAATGATTATTATCATATTTATATATGTGCATGATGATTTAATGAAATGTACATTTGTTATTTAAGTCTCAATGAATACTCAAATGAACAAATATACATATATGATCATAATTATATCTATAAATGAACATTATGAGTATCAAATATGATCATATACAATGATGTTTCAATGAAATGTACTTTTGTTCTTAAATCTCAATAAATACTCATATGAACAAATATAAATATATGATCATAACTATATCTATAAATGAACATTATGAGTATCAAATATGATCATATACAAATAACATATTAAACAAAGATAAAACCAATTTTTATCAAATACAACTAGCATATTAGACATGAACATAATATATTCTGTAAATGACTAATTACCTTGGTAGTGGAGACATTGTTAAAAGTTCAGGATCTACAATTGGATCATTTTGGCGGTTTTTTTTTCAATTTGTCTACTCTTGACTAAAGAGGTACATCATCATCATCGTCTCTGTTTTATTTAATAAATTGTTAATGTTTTAGTTATTTTCAGTAAAATCTTAGAACAATTACTACAATCGCAAAAAATTTTAACAAAAATTAGGTTTTACAAATAAATTCGCTCTATAATTTTTATCGCAAGAATATGAACAAAATTACTTACTCTTTGGTAACATTTTGCTCTGATTTTCCAGTTTCATCTTGCATGTTCTTCTCTAAAGCGTTTTTTTTTGCAAAATCACTCTACAATCACAAGGAAAAGAACCAAAATTATGCTTCATACAAAAATTGTACTAAAATCGTAATCAAATGAACAAAATTACTTACTCTTTATCAAAATGCTGCTGCGATTGTTTAATTTCATCTCGAATATCAGACATTTGAAGCAATTATGAAGTGTTTTGAAGCAATTTTGCAATAATTTGAAGAGAATTTCGTTCCGATTCGACGGTGTTGATGAGAGAGAAATTCTACAAAAATGAAGAAGATGGTTTTTAGAGAGAGAATAATTTGATATGGATAGTTTTTTTTTTTTTAATATATATATATGTGGGGTAGGGGAAGTTATTTCTAATTTACAGCAGTTACTGTGGTTAGTGGGGGTGAGTGGGGGTAGTTACTGTAGTTTGTGGGGGTAGGGGAAAAACGCAAAACACTGCGTTTTGTAGGGGGTGTAGGTTATGGTACCTACACTAGGGTCTAGTGTATACTAATTAGTTTTGGTGTGGCACAGTTTGAAAAACTCAAACCTAAATATTATGGTTTACTTTTGGTTTAGGCTATAAACCGCAAATCGATCTTTCATCCCTAGACTGTACATAAGCATAACATTAATCTTGAAAAATAATTTTTCCTTGAGATTAAATTAGTAAGTGATCAAAGTGTTGAAATTGTGTTTGCCTGTTTGGTAGGGAATTAGGGATGGAGTTATGGTGGTGGTTGAAGTTGTTGAAACTGGGGCGGAATTCCAATTCAACAGGGAGGGTGTGAAATTAAAGTGGGAAAAGGAAGATGAAATATCTTATTTTCATATTAGCAAAACAAAGATTTTGACTACCTTTCCTTTGATCAAAGGGTGTGGAATCAAAGTTGGAAAAGGAAGATGAAATATTCATGTCCTCGCATTAAAGAAACAAAGGTCAAAGGGTGATGAAATTGGAAGTATTATATATTCAAAGTGGAATCAACTTTCTATATTGTTTCTATATATAGATTATTATTCACATAATGTTAATATAGATACTATTATATTTTATTCCACTCTGTTGTCTTATGTTAACTTAATTCTCATAATACTATTAGTATACATATAAGGTCAGATATTCATTTAATCCTTCATCTAATGTTAATGATTTATAAATACTACCTCCATTACATATTACATATTATGTGCAACGATTAGACATTTTTCCTCTCTACTTTATGTCAAATCGTTGCAGATAATATGCAACAGAGGTAGTATAAAGAAAAGATAATCTTGTATGTAGTACTTGTTGGCCTTGGAATCGTCTTAATAAATAGTTTATTATTATTATTATTATTCTATTGTCATAGTATTTACTTGTGGATAATTCATGATATGATTGGTTAAGTTTCTGCATTGGTATACACGCTGAAGAGAAATGCTTAACTTATAAAAATATAAAAAAGGTATTCCTTAAATTATTCGTATTAATTAGTTTGTGGCTAAGATTATAATACTGATTTTTTTATCTCAAGAATTGCAAATGGAAAAAACAAAAGGAGCCGGAAGGAGGTCTTGACTTTTTGCACAAGAAGATGAAAGGAACTCCTGATGACTTGGAAAAGTCATAGTTGTACTGCTTAAAAAGTTGAATAAGCTTATAATAATACAATGCAGTGATAACAGAAGTAGGAACAAAATACACATTAGTACATTACACAATGCTGATGTCCCTTTTTCTGTTTCTTCTGCTGGCATGCTTAGTACTGCAGCTAACAGCATCATACTCCCCTCCATCCTTTGCCAAGCGTGGCTGTCAAGAATACTGCGGTGATGTCCTGATTCCATATCCTTTTGGAATCACTCCTAACTGCTACTACAACAAGTTTTATGAAATCATTTCGTACCCCTAAACCTTTCCTGCATAAGTTCAATTTAGAAGTGATGGATATACAATGGGATGGCGTCGAATCAGTATGTGAATCGAAATCTGCTTGTAAGAACTGCTGTCCATAATACATGCAGGTCTAATGCTAGTATTGATTTTAGAGGTAGTCCATTTGCTTTCTCAAGTTCGTCGAATGTTCTTGTCATGGAAGGTTGTAGTGGCAGTATTGTCTTAAGAAATAGGAGTGGAAATATCTTGAGTGGTTGTGCTACCGTTTGTGGAAAACATACTACTGTTGAGAAAGATTTGTATGGGGTTGGAGGCTGTCAAGCCTTGTTAACTAACACTGAAAGCTCCTTTGAGGTAGTCCATAATTGGATTTCAGATTGTTGATCACAGAAACCAGACCATCATAGGTCTTATCTTTGATTAGCAAGTAATAATCATCTTTCAATTATTACTAATTATTAGAGGATATATGCTTGCTTGGAGACATTATTGTGCTTAAGTTTTTGTATCCAGACTAGATGAATCCATAAACTTAACATAATGTTTTTATATGTTTTTGTGACGCTTATTTCAGGATTCAGTTTAGGCATGGGATTAATGGAACACTTTATCAGCATATTCATGATGCAAATGGAGATTTTCATGTTACTTGGAAAATGCGTCTGCAAATGGCAGCAGAATCAGCTGATGCTATAGCATACCTGCATTCATCTTCATCTGCCCCTATTTATCACAGAGACATTAAGTCCGCAAACATACTTTTGGATGCTAAATTTAGAGCCAAAGTTTCAGATTTTGGGGCCTCAAGAGCCATTGACATTGAACAAACACATGTGACTACATGTGTTATTGGGACGTATGGTTATTTAGATCCAGAGTACTTCCAGTCAAATGTATTCACTGAGAAAAGTGATGTTTACAGCTTCGGGGTAGTCCTTGTTGAGCTTATAACTGGCAAAAAACCAATCTGCCCCACCAATGACGGGGGATGGATTAGTTTGGCAGTTGAATTTCTGTTCCACATGGAAAATTCTCGTCTCTTTGATATTTTGGATCCTCGGATTTTAGATGAGGGAAAGAAGGAAGAGTTTGTTGCTGTTGCTAAGCTTGCAAGACAATGCGTAAAAATGAATGGAAAAGAAAGGCCTACTATGAAAGAAATCGCGATTGTGCTAGATGAGATCAGGTCATCCCATGTGTCTTATTCCATGGAACCAAATTCTATGGTTGGCAAGGAAGTGATGATGGAATTGAGTGATAAGCATGTTGGTTCTTCAAGTACAAGCTCATTCTTTCCTGGTGTTGACACGGATGCTTCCTCCACTATGGTCCAACGAGCTATGGCACATACATTATGATGTAAGATACTTGAAACTATAGCTAAGGAAGGTTTCATGAAATTATATTCATAGAAAAATGAAATATATATTTCTGAGCATGTATTTTGTTAGGATGACCTTATCCTGAATTGAATACCTTGTCCAAAAACTTTGTGGTGCAACATGTAGCTAATTGTGAATAGAATGTATTAAGGAAGGTCATTGTAATATACTTGTATTTTAGCTTTTCAGGTTTTTTCTTTTTTATCTCCTAAGGTAGTAACTAGTAAGGTAATGCTGATATCTACTGTGTTTTTTAAAACTGTTTTCATGAAATTTGCAAATAATCTGGATATTCTTTATAACTGTTTACATGAAATTTGCTAATAATCTGGAAATTCACAAACTATTTTTCACGCATTCACAATATGCCAACTTTTTCTTGGTGGATATTTCTACAATCTTTAATTCTGCAAATATGTTGAATGATCATGTGTTTGATGCTACTGAAAACATCACCTGCCTATAACTATAATCAAGAAGCAACCGCCTTCAATCCTACCATCATAATTTCAATCAAATGTTATTTAACAGAAGGCATTCTGCACTAATAAGCCTATTGAAGCTCTGTTATGTACTTTAAATTCCTACACACAATATTTAATAGGAATTCTTATGGTACCTGCTAATTCCTTTGTCTTCTGCTAGGACTTAGATGTCTAACAGGGATTCAGAAACTACGAAAAGCTAACAGTTCAATGACAGTGAAATAGAACCATGATGAATCGGGAGAGTTGAGAAACTACTTTACAAATTTACTTTAACAGCATAAACAAACTCGCAGGTGAGCATAATATCGCTTGGTTTAGGCCGGGAAGCCAGAACATAATACCTAAAACAAAACACACAAACTGAAAAGTAAAATAAGACCAACTTAGTAGAAGCATAAACAATAAGCTACTGACTTGCTAATCTGCTAGTGATGCAGCAGTAGCACTTAATCTTATTCTTGAAACTAACAGGACGAACAGAATCTCACATGGTTCTGATGAACCCTCATTCAGTAAGAGCAATTCTGTCCATAATCTTTGAGACAACATCCTTAGACTCCTTCAGCAGTTTAATACTCTTATTCAGCCTCTCTCTCTTTGTTGCTACAGATGGAGACTCCTCTAGCATCCTTTCGATGCCTCCCCCATACGGCCCCATCAGCTCATTCACTATCTCGTACTCCAGTTCTTTGTTCACCAGATTCTGAATACTGAACAGCAGATGCAAGGCCATTGAATCAACCAGCCTTCTTAGAACAATCTTCCAGTACGCTGTCATCCTAATCTTCATGTCCAATGCTTGCTGTGCCACATGCTTGTGCATCCTCAAATGCTCAATTTTAACCTCACCGAACCCTTTCATTTTCACAACTGGTTTCTCAGACTCGTCCTCAAGAACCCTCATGAATTCTTCTTGGCTGGTCATCAGCTCAGTCCAAATGGTCATGTACTCAGGATTGCAAGTGTAATCAGCAAGCTTTTCCATCTCAACAATTTCTACAACGCGCTTAACAGATTGATCTTTCATCTTGCTGATCAGACTGTTTGCAGGCCTCCTAGTTGAGGACTGAAGCGGTGGGTAGTTGTCACAGTGATGCATCAGCACTTGCACCACCACATTTTCAATGTATTGCCACACCTTGTTAACAAAATCCACAGGACTTCCAGAAATTCCCTCAACCTTTCTCTGCAGGATGGTAAGAAACCCACCACGAGGAAGGAAATTTGGCAGCCCAATACCCTTAGCCTCCTCCAGAACCCGAACCTCTTCCATCAGAAATGCAGTGTTAGCTCAGAAAACCTGTTCAGCATCTCCGCCAAACGAGCAGTACAATGCATACCTGAATCATCAGGATAATCATCATATTCACCCCTAATCAGAATCTTTCTGAGAGACTCCTTTGCAGATCCCGTGATCTGCATAAACACCGCCATTGCCTCTGCCGCAGATGATAAATTCTGAGGCATGCTATTCAGTTCAGCAACATTAGAATTCAACTTTGCATTTATCTGCTTAACAATGTTAGGCAAACACTTTGAGATTATACTAGCCTGTATATGAACCAACCTTTGGGCCAATACAGGAACCCCCACAGTCGAGTCATCAATCCTCGACAGCAAAGGGTGAGACCCAAACAGCCTTGCCTCCTCCAACCGCGCTTCCTCATAAGTTTCCTCCCCAATTCTGTTCCTAACACACACATACCCGAGACCAATACTGACATCATCATTTGTAACCTTCTCCAATAAGCCTTCAGGAGCCTTATCAGCCTTAGTCACAACAGCAAGTGTCCTCTGTCCAGTTTTATCAACACTCTGAGACATCATAATAGACTCACACGTCGAAAAATCAACTGTTGCAGATAACACATTCAGGACAATACTCTCCTCTGGAGTAATATACTCCATAATAATATCCCGAATCTGTTCATATATATTCTCAGGCTGTCCATGAACAGGAACCCGAGTGATACCGGGCAGATCAACCATTGTTAAATCTGGGACACCATGTTTCTTCACAACTAATGTTATGGGAGCATTAGATATCCCCTTAGCATTACCCGCGATTTCTTGAGTAGCAAAGTTGATTGCATCAGACACATTAGCTTCATCAGTCCTCACATTTTTACCCATGTACTCAAGGAAGAGTTCAGGGTCAGGACTAGAATGATGCTGCAGGCGCATAATAAGCGGAACCCGGGTGCATATACCTTTCCCTCTAGGAAGACTAATCCCAGCTAAGGACTCTAGCACACTAGATTTGCCAGAGGACTGATCACCAACTACGACGATAGTTGGTAACTGAATCCCCTCCTTCATAACTTTCAGGTTTCTTAGCTTGTCGACTGCATCAAGGAGAGGCCGAATACGGTCATTGTATGATGAAATCAGGGGTGGTGGTGGGGTGATATCAACATCTTCAGCATGAGAGTTAATTGTGAACAGTGGTGTATGAACTGGTACGAGTGACTTGCTATCATCGTTAACGTTTGTTCTTGTTGCTCTACTACTGGATTTTGGTTTGTTTTGTAGTACCATTTTTTTAGGCAGTTGGTAAAAGCACTTAATCTAGTTACAAGAGGGAATTGTTGGTTGTTTCTGTTGTATGAAACTATGAACTATGAAGTATGAGTATTTATAGTGAAATGTTACGAATTTACGAGTGATTTGGTGGAAGTTGGAGTGTTACATGCTAATTTAAATGTAAATGAAGACTTTTGGATAACCCAAAAAATTAAAATGATTGGGAGTATCAATGCATAAGCAGGTTGCAGGACAATTATTGTTGTGCAGTAATAGAAGTGGGAAACGTTTGGTTTATTTAAGCTTGTTAAGCAGTGATTTAGAGAGGATTAAAGCATTATATCTACAATTAGTATTGATTAATGAGTTAATGAGTATTTAAATTAATAATGTGGAATAGGAAATGGTTAATATTCCTAATTTCCTATACTGCGGGTGGAGTAACTACAGTAGTTCTTTGTGGTCTGTAGAGAAGCAAAAACTTTTACTCTGTAATTAACCCAAATTAACTTCTCCTAATTTACTCATATGAAGTTAATACTTTAATGTACTATTTTTGAAGTTAAAGTCATGATTTGTAGTATGGAGTACAATAGTGTTTTTTTTTTTTTTTTACATCCAAAACCCAAGTATAACATGACAGTTAAACTTATACGGAGTACTATATAGAAATCTATGTTGTAATAGATTAGTATAGATCTTACAAAAAAGACCATATTATATATTTAAATCCCAAAAGAGGTTTGAATTTTTGTAAATGATTTAATGAGTGTAATTTCCTTGACACAAGCCCAACACATAATACAAACTCATAGCATGCCCTTTTATTTTTTTTATTTTTTTTAAGGAACATAGCATGCCCAATTAAGTGTACAGATGTTTGATGTACCTAATGTAAATGATTTTTTAAGGTAGGAAAAAAAACTAATAAATCGGCATCGCTTACAAGTCAATCTACTCCAAAATTCTTAGCTATACACTTGGCCAACTAAGCTAGTCGCAACATCTATTGTACGAATATAGGGCACTTAAAAATAAACATACGTTTTCAAAGCCCCATGGTTACAAAAAAAAAAAAAAAAAAAAAACTTCCGCAGTTCTTACAAAATTAAACTCCGCATGTTCATTTCAGATGGACATATAACAAAGGGTGACTCTGCTAGTCGCGAAGTCTACAGATTTGTGAGAGTAGCAGCTTGCATCTACCTTAATATTTTAATATGTTCAAATGCCTTGAAAGTTTTCCATCTACCTAATTCTAGCAAACAACCAGTGACTAGAAACAAAATGAAAAGTTTTTTTCTTTTTAGGCTTCACACTCTTGACAAAAGACACCATCTTCTCATCAATCCTTCCCTTAGTGAAGAAATTGGCTAGTCTTGTATCATCTTCATCCCCCTCTTGGTTCTCAAGCAATACTTTTTCAAGGGCGTGCCGCCAACATATGATGGCAGGTGTCTTCCAACAACCGCATTTTTTCACGCCTTTCAGTGGTATCTCGTACGTGAACTGAAAACAGAAGATCAAGAACAAATTTACAGTTTTGAATCATGCACCCCCCCCCCCCCAAAAAAAAAAAAAAAAAAAAAAAAAAAAAAAAAAAAAAAAAGTTTTGTATGAGCACAAATGAATCTCTCACACTCTCTTCTTTTTTTTTTGGCTTGGTATGAGCAAGACAAGATATTTGTTGCAAGAGGTGTCCCATAGCTCCTACATATGCTCATATTTCTCAATCATATATTTCAAAATTCATCCTATCCAGCACCTATTACATTTAACATAAATAAGATGAATGGTCAAGAATTTTGTGCCAAATAAAAATCCAAAAATTTGCCAAACTGAACACAAACAACTCTTTTAGCACATACCAAGAGGATATGATCTAAATCTCGGACAAATAGAAAGAAAAGTTAGCTTAAAGTTTGTATTTACAAGTTCAGGCATGAATATGCACTTCATCCAAACAGACATTAAGGAAAAGTTTGCCATCTTTCATAATACCCTTGTTGAAAATGGCAAGCAACAATGTAAATAAACAAAGTTCATAAACAATGACAATCTCTTTTGAAGCATTAGCAAGCAATTGTAGGTGTCAAATGCCAAAAAAAAATTCATCTCACACTAAGCACTAATAGAAGTCACAAGATATATAATTATGCACTAATATATCTTGAACAGAACATGCATGATTATTATGCAATTATGAGAGTTGAGCAGATTATGTTAGTGGAGTTGAGCAGAGATTATGTTACTATATGCATGATTACTAATTTACTATACATGATTCTGTTCTAGCGTTCTAGTTGCATAACTTAGCAGAGATTATTCTAGTTGCATTACTAATTTGTTCTACTAATCCCAAAATTTTCTCAATAGCATCTATTTATGAATTAAGTGTTACAAAAGGCACATTGACTAGGAATCAAATGGAAACTGCAACTACAGATCATATGATCTACAAGATAGAATGAAGTACCTTAAGCACTTTGTAAATTGGAATGAAGTCGTTATATATAAATATAGACTCTGGACGAGGTGCAAGCCACAAAAGAGCCTCGACAAAGGTGACAGGAGTACGTTTTATAAATGATGCACGGAGTGATACTATCAAATGCTTGATGCCATGGAGGGGAGGGCGAGACTTCATCCTCACTTTTTCTGGAACTATAAGATCCTTTATTGACAAACACAACTCCCTCAAATACAAATCATTAGTTTTCCAATCCAATTGACATAAAAGCAATGTGATGAAAAGACTAAAAAGAAATACAAAATGAGTTAAGGAAAGGAAGAACCATTCCTTATATTACCTCTTCCAAACCAACACAGATTGACAGTTGTTCACTATTGCCTAGCTTGGAGAGAAACTTAACGAGTCTAGCATACCACTTATCGTTCTTAATGTCAGCCTTTAGGTAAACGGGAGCCTTCTTCAACTTTTCTCATAAAACCCTCATCTAAATAAACATTCACAAGGCTAAGCTTTGTCACTGAAGGCAATTGGGTATTTGCCAAAGAAGCCGAAATCAACTCACAACCTTTCAAATTCATCGTAGTGATGAAGTTCACACTAAGCACACTCTTAGGCAAACTATACCTAGGACCATTCCTACCACCAATTTCCAAGCTTAGAGTTCTAACGCGACAACCAACAACACAATCAAGCCAATGATCTAACCGCGACTTCAACTCCAACTCATACTGAGGTATATAAAGTTTGAGCACTTCCAACTTCGAAATTGACCCAAGGGTTCTATCAAGAAAAGCATAAAATTCCTCCCTTTCCTTAACAATTGACAAATACGAAAAATGCTAGATAAAATGCTAGTTCTTGCTGCATCCCTAGTTGACAAATACGAAAGTATATGCGTTTTAATGGGTTCTGGTAAATTAGATATTCGATCTGAATTTTGAATCCTCTTCTCCATGATCTAATGCAAAATATGATAAAATGTACAAGCATTAGCAATATGATATAGAGCAGCTATACTTGATATAGAGCATTAGCATATATTAATATATAATCTTGTTGTATACAGATAATACGAAATGGGGAAATGGAAAAATTGTAGAAAATTTAAAGTTTGATAAAGAATTAGCGTTTACCTGAGAAATTGGAGCAAAGATGAATGTAAAAACCCTAGATAAAAGTGAATTGTGCTGTCTTCATTTTAACTGCTGTGCTGAGGACTTGAGGCTTCTTGTTTGGTAAGCAGAGTTTTGGAAACTTTTTAGCGAAGTACGAGTATCTTATTAAAAGAGCTGTGAGACCCAAAAAGTTCTTTGTAAGAGCTTTTTACAAATTAACTTTTTTTTTTTCTTTTGAATAGACAAATTAGCTTATTAAAAAATTAGCTTTTGGGTATTTATTAAATATAAACTACTCCGTACACTAGAAACAAGTCAACAACTAATAATAAATATCTATTTATCACACTTTTATAATAATCAAGTATTTAAAACTAACTAGTCAAAAAGGCTAATATAACCAGCTAGTCAAACCAATTAATACAATCCGCTATATTAATCAGCAAACATCTAATTACCAAAAAGGATCACAGATTACAGTACAATATTTTCGAATAATACACATCAATCAATTAACTTATACTAAAAGCGAATCTATAATAACACTTGTCACAATCTCATTAACAATTTTCCCGCCCATTTTACTTTCCGTTTTTACGCAGATTCTTTAAGGAAGTCATTTTATAGTAATTTAAAATATCTTTCTTCCAATTAAAATTCTTAACAATAATAATTCTCCATACAAACCCAATGAACTAATATATTTTTACATATAAGTAGTCTTTTATTTGGTATTATTTTTGTAAAAAAAATTAGGTAACTATTACTAAACAATATTGCTATATATTATTTTAGTCTTTGATAATACTATTAACTTTTTTTCTTCCAATTTTGTTACTTTTGCAAATATATATATATATATACACACACACACACTTTATTTTCTACTCTTAAAAGTCGTATCAATACTAACCCAGCATGTGCGGGTACTATCCTTAGAATTTTTTTACAAAAAATAAAAACTTCAAAGTCCTCTTTTTTTTTTTAAATCAAGTTTAAGTGTCACTAATCTTGACATTGACAGATTTACATATAAAATTAAAGTTATATTTATTTTTGAATTAGTATTATGAGTTTAATTTTTTTATAAAATTCTATACAATAACTCTTTATAAAATTTAATAATAATCGTGCATTTCACGGGACTTAAACTAGTAGTAACATATTTTCAAAAGTAATATGAATCAAATGGTATATGAGTAAATAAGTGGACAACTTTGGTTAAAATTCATAAACCATGAATAGCAATCTAGTCATTCAAAATACGAGGGAATAATAATGTCGATAAATGAATTATCACTCCAATAGTCCCTTCAAATATATATAATCCATATATACGTAGTAAATAAAATCTAGTATACTGGTGCGAGCACTATATACATTCACACTTAACTTTAGGTATACTCCGGTGATCGAAGCTTAGAGGGCATAACTAAGAGCAGCGTTAATGGTGAACATTTTAATAGTTCACAATGAGTGAACAAATAAGGTGGTGGCTTAATGGCAAACTCTATAATTGTTCATGATGAGTGGTCATGCGTTCGATTGCAGGAGCGAGCAGCTGGACGAAATAATTCGCTGTGGGCCCCACCAAAATTTTCCACTGATATTCATACAAAACGACGTCGTTTTGCTGTTTCATGTTGCAAAACGACGTCGTTTTGCTTATTAACGGGCAGAAAAAAAAATAGAAAGTAGCGGCTGGGAGCGCGCCACTTGGCCCAGCCGCTGCTTGACACGTGTTCATTGTTTTAAATAAATCCGTTGTAATAATACAACGGATATGTTTTATAAAATACAAATAAAAAAAAAAATTACCAACGGCTCTATTTTTTTCCCCTCGATAAATAGACACCCATATTGATATACTTTCTTCAACTTTGAAAATTCATTTTTTCTACTATTGTTTTCTCTTCAAAAATCCCCTCTATAATTACCAATATTATTATTATTTATACCAATATTAATATTATTATTGTTATTATTATTTTTAATTATTATCATTAATATTATTATTATCGTTACTATTATTTTTATTATTATCGTTATTATTATTATTATTATTATTTTTATTATTATCGTTATTATTATTATTATTATTATTATTATTATTATTATTATCGTTATTATTATTATTATTATTATTATCGTTATTATTATTTTTATTATTATTGTTATTATTATTATTATTATTATTAAATTTTTATTTTTTCCAAATATAAATTATAATTATGGATGCTAATACCAACCCCAAAACAAATAGAAAGAAGAAAAAAAAAATTTGGGTCAAAATATGATCCCGAATCAAGCCAATTTTCCTCCAATTCACCCAAATTTTTCACAAACACCCACAAATATTCCCCATATTTTTTCTGGAGTTTATCCTCAAATACCCCAGTCAAGTTTCCCAAATAATCCACCAAATTTCCCTCAAAATTTTAATTTTTCTCAAAGCAGTTCAAATTTCCCACATCCATCCATGATACCAATGGGTTACGGTGAATATGGTGCTGCATCTGGTTATTTTCCGTCACAACAACCGAATCCCAATATTTGGGAATCGAGCAATGTCTTATCTGAAGAAGATAAGGCAAATGAAGAATGCGAGGATGATGGTGAGGGAAATGAAACTCCTTCTCCCCATCAAAACTTCACTCAAATGTTACAGCAACCACTCCAATCAACTCCGGAATTTCGTGTTAGTGGTTCAAACAATAGAGGTTGGTCGCGATCAGAAACTGCGGCTCTTATATCCGGCTACATGAACACCAGCACCGACATAATTACCGGCACAAATCAAAAGAAGGGTGTATTTTGGAAGAGAGTCTTGGACGCATACGATGCTGCCAGGGAATCGAATGCAGATGAAATATCCCTACGAACTATTAGTAGTTTGAAGGGAAGGTGGATGCGAATCTCTGAAGCCGTGTTAAAGTGGTGCGGAAGCTATGATAAGGCCCGGAAGCGAAAGGGAAGTGGCTATAACGAAGATGATGTTATCCAAGAGGCCCACAAAATCCATGAGAACTCATTCGGACGATTCACCTTCTACGAGGAATGGATCCAATTAAGGAAGTGGGACAAATTCCGGTCTTTCTTGGACCAACAAACATTCAAGCCTTCGGTGGGACGTCCACATTCAACTCCACTGACGGATGAGTCTGTAGGGAGCGGAAGTAGTGGAAAGAGGACACGGGATGAGGGTGACAATTCCTCACCTACCACACCAACCAGCGTGGGTGTCGGTGATGAGAGAGTAGCTCATGCTGAAGGTATTAAAAAGGCTAGGTCGAGATTGAAGGGTAAAGCTCCATCAAGTCAAGCATTTAAGGAATTAGAAACATTTAACAGCCGATTGCAGCTACTTGGGGATTCGATGAATGTGTCAAACGAAGCAGAAATGAAGAGACTTGAAATACAGGAGCGCAAGGAGGCAAGGAAACAACGGAAAATTGAGCTAGAGCAATATAGGATCAACTGGGAGCAACTATCTCGTCTAGAACAGAAAGTAAACCGAGAACAGTGGGAAGACGAAATGATAGTAATACTTCGGAACAATATTCAACGTTTCAATAATGATGCTTAGTGTCCTTTATTTTTATTGTAGTTAAGTGTGTTCAATTCCTTTGTTGTTCTTCATTTTCAGTAGTGATAAGTTTTCAATTCCAGTTCAACCTCTTGTACTCATTTCCTTATGTTTGTACTTTATCAATTAATCAGTAAAATGGATCTTTTCCACTTTCCCATTTTCATAGCCCATGTGATATTATTCTGTTTATTCAATTATATCAATTTGTCTCTTTATATATAATTGTGTCAGTATCTTAATTTCCCCTTTGTTAGCCCATGTGAAACCCTTCTTCTCCATTCAATTTCTGTGTGGTTCTAATCCAGTGTTGGTCATAGCCCATGTGAAACCCTTCTTCTCCATTCAATTTCTGTGTGGTTGTAATTCATTGTTTGTCATAGCCCATGTGATCTTTGTCTCTTTATATTCAGTTATTTCTGAAGAAGAATTACAAATTAGTTCACTATAAATAAACACCATTCTTTCATTTTTTTTACACACAAACACATAAATCGTTTGCAGTTACTATTAGCAAACCTCACTCTATCTTACATTTCTTACGTACAAAATGAATTCAAACAGTTTAAACGAAAGCTCAACCGATTCCTCTTCATCTTCATCTAACTCGGATGATGAGGGAAGGGAGCTTAGAGTTCAACAACGTAATGAAGTGTGTCTTATGATACAACACGTAATGCATGAGTACATTCCACCAATTATTCAAGCTGCCACTCAGCAACGCCGACGCAAATCTACTGAGCCCCGAAAGGATAGGGGACGCGAAGAAGGTCATGCACGGTTATACAATGACTATTTCGCGGAAGTCCCATTTTATCCAAGTTCCTTGTTCCGGCGCCGGTTTCGAATGCGTAAACATGTGTTTGAGCGCCTTCTCAACGCAGTGACCCAACATGACCCCTGGTTTCAACAAAGGCGAGATGCGGCAGGTCGTCTTGGTTTGTCTCCACTTCAAAAGTGCACTGCGGCCGTTAGACAACTAGCTTACGGGTGTGCTTCAGACGCTTGTGATGAGTATGTCTGTATAAGTGAGGCAACTTCACGATTGGCACTCCAAAAGTTTACAGAAGGTGTCATCAACCTGTTCGATGATCAGTACCTACGCCGTCCAAACATCGCAGATATGGAAAGATTGCTACGTATTGGGGAAGAACGTGGATTTCCTGGCATGATAGGCAGCATTGATTGTATGCACTGGGAGTGGAAGAACTGTCCACACGCATGGAAGGGGCAGTATCAAGGAAGAGAAGGAGTTGCAACTCTCGTACTGGAGGCAGTTGCGGACAGAGATCTATGGATATGGCATTCGTTCTTTGGGATGCCAGGTAGCTGCAACGATATTAATGTGCTTCATCGATCCCCTGTGTTCGAAGACGTCTTAGAGGGTCGAACACCTCCTGTGAACTTCGTAGTCAATGGTCATCATTATACGAATGCGTATTATCTTACTGATGGAATCTACCCTAGATGGGCTTCTTTTGTGAAATCCATTACGAGTCCACAAACTCGTCAGGATCGTTCTTCCCCAATACGTTCTGCCTATCATGTCAGGATCGTTTACTTTTGTGAAATCCATTACGAGTACCGTACTGATCGTATTGTGGATATCGGCTTATACTTGTCTCGTAGAACAGAGATTGAGGATCAATAGACTCATTTGCAGCTAAAAAACGACTTGGTCGAACATATATGGAATAAATTTGGTAACAACGAAAACTTAGGCAACTAGGTTTACAACAAATGGTTATCCCTAAGGACATCTTACAAAACGATGTGTAGTTGTTTTTTTTTTTTAAATAAAATGTACTAGATTATAGTTGTAGAACTGTAATCACGATTTGTACCTCTTTTTTTTTTGTTAATTAAAATTAGCTGTGTTGTTGTTTAAAAAATATTAATCACAAGAATTAGTTTTTTAAAAAGCTGATAAAAAAACGCGATAATTTCTTAATTAGTAATCACGATTAAAAAATTAAATACGTCAATTAATTACATTGACATCGAGTTAATAAATTATAATTATGAATTAAATAGATTATATTTACAAAAATAAAATAAGGTGGGGTAGGGTGTATTGATGATGAACCATTGTTTAGTGTTCATTGTTAAGAGTGAATATTGTAAATGGTTTGTTGGGTTGATGTGGATGAGAGAGAAATGGTGATAGTGACCCATGAACCATTTTTTTGTGTTCACCAATAATGATGCTCTTAATTTGGAAGTCCGGATCCTCTAATTTTCTCTCTCTTTCCCAAAAAAGTTGGGATACTTTATTAGTGTAGGTAGCTTAGGTTTGGTATTATTCTCTACTTTCCTTAGAGATGATCACAAAGGATTTGGTCTTTCGAATCTGTAAGGGATAAACAAATTAGAGGAAAAAAATACTATTTAACAAAATTTTAATTACTAAAGTCTATTGGTAAATAGTGAAATAAACATTATGGATGGAGTAATTTGATATTCTTCTTTTTTTTTTTAAAAAATTTTTTGGTAGATAGGAATAATAGATTAGCTAAGAACGAATTTGAAACAAGAGCTGCCCTGCTAGCAATCGAATTTAACAAATTACAATTATCCAGTATAGCGTGAGTTTCATGTATTTCAGGCAAAATAATATCATAATAGACCAGGAGCGGGGTGTTGAAAAAAGTTTGGTTATTCAAAAGATCATTTCTAGTTTTGACTTCCTTGGCTAAAGCATCAGTTGCCCTATTCCCTCCTCTTGGTCAAAGCATAGGGTTGAGCCGGTTAGTTGGTCCAGGAGCTCCCAATTTGATATTCTTCAACCCTAAACAAATTGTGCGTTAAAATAATCATCTATAAGAATATTAATTTTAGGTCAATCATAACTAGAGTTAAGTAATACATGGCACTATGGCAGTATATATGGCACCTTGTAGAAATTCTCATAATGGTATTGGAATTTATTACAATTGATTCCTCGTATTCTTCATTGAAATACAAATTAGGTATAATAAGCTCCTGGGAATGATAACAAACTTATAAAATTAAGGTACCCTATCATTTTATATAGCTAAATAATTTTTACTAGTATAATTAAAAAGATTATATAATATGATTTGGAATTAAATTAGATTGTTGTTCATTTTTCTTTCTTTCAAAAAATAATTGAACTTGGAAATTATGATTTGCATTCAAGTGTGATTTCAGCTTTTAACAACTTTACATTGAAATTAGAGTTGGACAAAGTACACAATGAGTTCTCAATTTTGTTGATGGGAGCTAGAATCATTTTTGGAGTTTTAGATGCTGATTCTAAATTGAAGTTGTAAGTTCGTAATAAATAAAAGTTCTCGCCCATGATTAACCATTGATACAATTTTGATGATATTATAATAAATATATATATTAAGTTATTGGGCTCTATTGAGTTTGTCATTGGTTAAGAGTAGAGGGGGAGGTAAGGAAATCTTCCTACTTTCAAATATTTTATAACTATTTTGCTCGAATTTATGACCTCAAGGTCATAAGATGAGATCTCCACCGACTACCCCGTCATTTGATACAACCGAAGCCTTAAAAATAGAAATATGTGAACGAAGCCCACAGCTGCACCGGTGTAGGAGTTAAAAACAGGCCACATTAAACTTGGATTACGCAAAATTCTCACCCGCTACTCCTCCATTTCGCCCATGTCCTGCTAATCTGCATGTTGCATGCACCTTGTCTTCTCTCTCTTTCCAACTCCACGTGTCCCATCCCCCTCTCATACGCGTGTCCCCTTTTTACATCTCATCACCGCCCCTTCTTTCTGTCTCCTACCCTCGCCTCCAAAATTAAATACTCTCAAACAATTTCATCATCTTCATTTTCATCTCATCATCCAAAAACCCTAGCTAAAACCTTGCATAATTCTCTACAAATTACAAACTTAACTTTATTATTTACTGTTTTTAATCATGTGATTTCAGTCAATTTCAGGTACTTTTCTTAGCTGCAGTTATCATTTCAATATTGTATGCTTAATTTGCCCATAATTTCAATTTATATTATTGGTATGTTTGTTCTTAATTAGAAAAATAATTAATTTACGGGATTATCTGATGCATTTTGTTTGAATTTCTGCTGATTTATTGCGCAATTTTGATCATACTTTAGTAGCTTAGTTAGTGAGATATGCTATTGTGATAATTTATCCTAATGCTTTTCGATTGACTGCATTTAATTTTAAAAGTACTGTATGATTCTATGTTTTAAGGAATTTTAGTACATTAAGAAGTTATTTGTTACTGTTGTTATCCTTGTGTTGGTATTCTCAAGTATATGGAATGAGAAAAGTAAATTCAGAGTGCAGATCGATGCGAGTGATTAGCAAAATTCAATTGAATACGAGTTGAGTTCACAGGTGTACCAGATTGTTTTAGTATATTTGACCAAGACATAGTACAAATTCTATGAGTATTGAGTGACACATAAGGATAATGTCAGTACATTTAATTTGGTTTTACAAAGTTAAGTTGTTTGATTAGTATAACATTGATAGTATTATTCAATTCGTCAGTTTGATTTGATCGAAACTGTATTCAAAACTGTAGTAGAACATACGAAGTATTACTCGTTATTGCAACGTGTAAATTGGCAAACATAGTCAAGATACTAACTGGCATGGACTCACCCCAAAATATGTTATAGTTGTCCAATGTGCTCTTTGCCAAAAACTCACTATAGTAGATTTTATTGATATACCGCCATTCTTTGCTGGTCAGGGTCTTACTAGATGGAGGAAATCGAAGAAATAGATCCTGGTGATGAAGAGGAGTATTGGAAGGTGCAAGATTACAAAAATTACTCAAAATCATATGAAAGCAATAGCAAGTTAAGCCGGATATGGAGAGGAGGGGTAAATCTGGGGAAGAAAATGGTGGTAACAGGTGTCGTGGTCTCATCTGCCTCCTTTGTTCTTCCTCCTCTTGTAGTTTTATCTGCCATAGGGGTTGCCTTTTCTGTTCCTGCTGGTGTTGTGATTGTCTCGTATGCATGTGGTGAGAAGCTTTTGAACACTTTGCTGCCAATGCCTTTGGCACTTCCTTATGAAGGAAATGGGCCAATGTATAGTGATGAGTCAGGAAAGTACATTGTTTACGAAGATGATGTTGACAAAGGGTATGAAGGGGATGAGGACATTCAGTTGGAAGAAGACCTTAGAAAGGGGATGGAAATGAGGATTGAATTGGCTGAGGAAAATAATAAAGAAACTGTTGATCATGATCAAACATCTGCCAACGAGGATGAACTAGATAAAATGTCATCAAAAGTGAGTGAGATTGTTGAAGAATGGGGGTATGAGGAAGATCTTGGGGAGTACAATGAGGATGAGGAGCAACCTTTAAATTCAGAAATGATTCCTGATATACTAAAAGGGATCGAAGAGGCAGAAAATGAGATTTCTTTAATAAAGAAAGAAGAGGGTGAGATGCCAAAAGATTCATTGAAGGGAATTGTAGTGGAGGCTCAATTAGGTTCGGAGAATGAGAACAATGTTGAAGAAGTAACAGAAGACATGGCCTTTGTAGGTGAGGAGGATGAGAGTAGTGTTGATCAAATGAGGGGGTATAAGTCTCTTGGGGAGTACATAGAGGATGAGGAACCTTCAGATTCAGAAATAATAGCTGAGTTACTAGAAGGGATCCATGAGGAGGAGAATGAGATATCTTTTATGGAGAAGGAAGAATATGAAATCCCAAGGGCAGTTTTAGAAGCTCAAGTAGGCAGGGAGGGTGAGAATGATTCTGAACACGTAATGGAAGACATGGCCTTTGCATCACCAAGAAACATAGAAGATTACAAGGGAAATTCGACTGGCATAGAAGAGGATGAGTTACATAGGGATGTGTCAGGATTGATTAAAGAAATGAGTGATGAAAGCACAGAGGAAACACGTGGAGAAAATGAGGAAATTGAAAGAGCTCTCATAAAGGATATGTCTCAAGTAAAGGGAAACACGAACCTCACTATCCTTTCCAAGGAGGTCAAAGAGGTAGAGAATGAGATTTATTTATTGGAGAAGGAGAGTGATATGCCAAGAGATTCGTTATTGGCAGTTGTAATAGAGGCTCATGTGTCTGAGGAGAATGATAACAATGTTGAACAAGTAACACTAGACATCGGGGAGAGTGAGAACAATCTTGAACAAGTCAGGGGTTATGAGGAAGATGTTAGGGAGAAAATGGAGGATGAGGTAGAAAATGAGATACTAGCAGGGATCAAATGGGCCGAGAATGAAATTTCTTCAATGGAGAAGGACGAGGGTGGGATACTAGCTAATTCATTAAGAGCAGTTGTACTAGAGGCTCAGGTTAGTGGGGAGAATGAGAACAATATTGAACAAGTAACTGAAGGCGTGGCCTTTATCATACCAACAATAGAGGTAGAAAAGGAGAATAGGTGCAGTGGAAATGATGCTGGTTTAGCAGAGGGCGAACTAAGAAGGGAGACAACGGGGTTAATTGAAAAGATGAGGGATGAGGGTAAAAATGACTGGAAAAGAAATGACAGTTCAAAAGAGAAAGCACTAGAAGAAAATGAGAAATCTGAAAAAGGATTCTTAAAAGGTGTGTCTGATAAGTTGGGAAACAAGGACATTACTGTCATTCTTGAGGAACCTAAGCCAATCATCGATGACAAGGGAAAGATACAAGGCCGCAAAAATGATGCAAATTTAAACAATACAAGTATTGAAGCTGATGAGAGTGGATTATTGTATAAAGAGTCAAGAACCATTGTAGAAAATTGGCTAGTGGTAAATGTGAAGGATGATGAAAATGGTACTGCCACCGAGGTTCATCAAGGGATCAGCTTGGTTAATCTAGAAACTTCTGTGCTTTCCAATAACGACAGAGAAATGGCCGGTGAAAGTGGGTTTCCTCGGTCAGACAATGGAACTGAGGAACCTGATCAATTTGCAGATTCATTTGACACAATGCCTGAAGGTAGTCACTGGTTTTATTATAATAAATTCAAGTGTCAAAGTTGTTAATTATGTTTGGTTTTCAAGTTGTGAGAATTCTGGGATTGAATTTGTTTTATGGCTGTGCAGGGGATGATGTATCTTTAACTGTTGATTATCGTGAGGTTGTGATTGAATCACTCCCTGTGTCTGAAACTACAGAAACTGCACCGGATCAAGGAATTGCTTCTTCTGATAAGGTTACAACTTTTCGCTATCTGTATTTAGATTTTATGAAAATGGCTTTACGTTAGTATGAATATGAGCAATGCTTTTGTCTTTTAAAAAAAGATTATGTCATGAGCATAATTTGAAACTTCTTTTTCTCTGCTGGACTGTAAATTGCTTTGTTTGGCAGTGCTTGAGCCATAATTTATTTCTTTCTGAACTCATGGAGGATGTTAAACACCTTAGGTTCAATTTTTGCTTTTTGATTCAATCGTATGTGTGATTATTCTCCTACATTGGAACTTAGGAAGAACCATTATGTGATGTTAGACTATTAGCTGCACGTAAAAGTTGCATATTACCCTGTGAAATTGATAGACAATGTACTTGGGAAAATGGTGCTATTTCTTTACTTAATTACCTTTTCAAGGAATCAAGGCATTCTCCACATTTTTATAGTGATTTATTTTATTTTTTATTTTTGTTTTCTTAAATTTTTTTTATCACACTAGTGAAAGTTTTACAAGTACATATTAACATGTGTATATCCATATAGGCGAGGAAGCATCTAGTATTTCTGTTTAGAATTTGTACAGTCTTACACCTTTGACCCAGGTAGATGGATTATGGTCCATTGTAGCTTGTGTATAACAAACCAAATTGTATGAACTAAATAATACTAGATACCTTGCTGCATAGAGTCCTGAATTGCTTGCAGACTAGGATCTTGCCTGGAGCCTGCATTGCCATTTATCTGAGCAAGCCACCATAATTCTTGGACTTTTTGCAGGTAAAATTGGACGAGGAGAAGATATGGGAGCAAATCAATGCAATGCGAACCATTGTGGGTTACAAGAACACTCCTCACTTTTCATGTGCAGAGGAGCTAAAGGCGCTTTATGTGTTTACAGGGGTCGAGCCACCAGCCACATGCAAGGGCCCTGCCGATCTAGCAGATATCAACGAAAATCTCCACTTTTTAATGTCTATAGTTGGCGTCAAGTAGATTGTTTTACTTAATTAGGTAGTTGAACATTTTCCCTTTTGGATTTGTATATTTGTTCTCGACAAATTTGGAATATTCTTGTGCTTATAGTTAGTGTAGTTGGTTTGTTGTGAGATAACAAAATGTAGCAGGTTGCTTGCTTAATGTTTTTATTGAAAGAATGGACGAAAATTCATCACATCACATTGTTAAGGTGCAAGTGCATGTGTATTGTCAGCTAAAAAATGAACTATAGAGCAACTTCAAAGTGAAAGTATATTAGCATGTTATTATTATCTGCTGATATATTGGCTTTCGGTTGCTTAAACTTCCCAAAGTTTACTGGCTTAAGAAATAAGCTGTCACTTGTGTGTTCATTTTGTAAAAAAAGAAAGATGTTATGAATGTTTCATTGAGTGTCACATGAAATTCAGGATACTTTAATGATGGTACCACTTGGGCTTTGTTCGATGAGGTTACTTCATGTCTTCATTTAATAATGTTACCACTCAACAATGGTAATGTAGTGTATGCCATTATCTAAATAATGGTATAATATGTTACAATTAACATGTTGATTGTTGAAAGCAAATAAATTAAAATATACTGTCTAAATGCCCTTCAATTTAATTTTTCATTAAACCTTTTTATTGAATATAAATGTTATGCAAAATACATTGACTAGAACACTAGATGTGTTGAGCTATGCTAGTAATACTATGTATGTACTTTAGAAATTTTATACGTAGTACTCCGTATTCTATAAAAGGCACGATGAAACAATCTAACGAAATGTCACACATTAACATTAAATAATAGCTCGATCTTAAATTTTAATAATTATCTCACATTTTCTTTTTGGGTAAGTTTTATACCTTAATTTTTAAGTGTACCCACTTGCTTTATCAGTCTCTCTTAGGGATGGCAGTGGGCCGGGTTAAATGGGAGACCCGCCCCATCCCCGCCCAAGTGGGGCGGGGATGGAGGAGGTTTGGCGGGTGATGGGGCGGGGATGGGTATAAAATGTGTACCCGCCATGGGTGATGGGGCGGGTATGGATTTTAGAGTAGATCCGCCCCATATCCGCTCCGTACCCATCTTATACCGGCACCATATTTCTTTTAGAAAAATTTAGAATTTATAAAACTTGAAACCCTCTAAGACCCAATAAGCTTGAATAATGAAAGTCCCAATTTTCTTAACCTAATTTGATATAATTGTCAATAATGTGATACAATAGAGCATCATGGCAATGGGTTTGGGATGATTTTGGGGCGGGTATGAGGTGGGTGATGGGGCGAAGATGGATCCTATCTTGTACCTGGTGGGGCGGGTATGGATGTGGATACTGTACCTGCCACGGGTGGTGGGGCGGGGATGGGTATAAGATTTTTAGGCGGATATGGATATGGAGGTACCATCATCCGCATCCGACCCGCCCCATTGCCATCCCTAGTCTCTCTTAGTCTCTCTCATCTCCTTAATATGTGTGTCTAAATTAAACGTGTCAACTACATAGAAATATAGGAAGTAAAACCCAAAATTGATACGGTATGGAGTATGTTATTAAAAAATAAATCCAATTGGCCAAAAAAAATCCAATAACAATAAAATAATTAAAATGTCGGTGAGATAATAATAAGAGCACCCTTAACCATGAATGGAAAAAACTATTTGCTTTACTGTTCACACAAAATAATTTTAAAAAAACTAAAGGCTGATGAAAGTGCAATGAACAAATACAAATGGTTTGGAAAAGCGAACGGTTCATCAAAAATTATTTGTCTGACAAAGAGTTGCTTTTGCACCAAAAAGGCACGTGAAAACTAGTAGAAATTTTTTTTAAAAAAAAAATCAAAAAGGGGAATTTGTGAGATTGTGCCACTTGTCACTAGTATGAGAAATAATTGTAACATTACAATTTTTGTAATGTTAATAACTTTTAACACATAATTTTTTTTATTTACCAACGGTCATAATTTTCCATTCTCTATAAATAGACACTCATATTGATATAGTTTCGACAACCTCAAAAACTACATCTTTTTAAACCATAGTTTGTATCTTAATATGATTTCTTCACAAAACTAGCCAAAAAATTACAAATTATGGATCCAAACATTCCTAATTATGCTTTTAATAATCCAAAACCTCAAACAAAGTGTACATCCAAAAAAAATCCACAACAAAATCCACCAAATTATAGAATAAACCAAGAAAATTGGGTTCAAAACCCCCTAATCACCCACAAAATTCTCCACAAGTAATCTCTCAAAGTTTCACAATAAATTACATATTAAATGAGATTAATATATTGTTAATTATGTATGTATTTTAATTTTTACTCCCTCCGTCCCAAAAAGAACGACCCATTTGGCCAAAATTTTGTCCCAAAAAGAATTACCCATTTGCATTAAAACACCACCAATTTGCAACAATATTTGTGCAAAATTAGCTTCCCCATATAAAAATTTGATTTTCCATGTTATTTTATTACTTTCTCTCTCTATTTTTTTACAAGCCCCATATAAATTTATCTTTCCAATATACTTTTACTTCTTTTTACTTAACGTCCTTAATACCCGCGTAATCAACCCAAATGAGTCGTTGTTTTTGGGACGGAGGGAGTAGTAAAAAGATAAATTGAGGTGAGGTAGGTGAATAGCATGAACAATTTTTTATTGGTTCATGGTTAAGAGGAGGATGTTGGAAATTATTTGTATGATTTATGTGTATGAAAGAGAAAGTATTTATTTATGTGAATAGTAACATGAATAAGTTTTTATATGTTCATGAATAAGGTGCTCTAAGAAGAAAAAAAAAGTTATCCTTCGCGATTGACGAGAGAGAGAGACATGAGTCAGAGATGATGATCTTAAAGAATGGAATGAAGGAGCGCGTCAATCACGTCACACCTTCATTTTCATTTTCAATTTCAATTTCAATTTCCAGATCTCCTCTTCTCCCTCATTTTCCCCTTTCTCTCTCTTCCCTCCTATCTTCCACGCCATAGGAGAGAGAAAACCTTAATTTTTTTCCTTTTTTTGAAAAATTAAAAAATAAGAAAGGTGTGTAACGATAAAAGAGGGGGTTATAAGTTACATGAATGACAATAACTCCGCCATCTTTGCTCTCCCTCACAATCGACTCTGCTCTTCTCCATCTCTCTTCTTTTTCTGATCTTTCTCATATTCCTGATCACATTCTCATCGATCTTTTTCGGGTTTGTCTTCTTTCTCTCTCCTTTTCTTTTTCGATTTCTGTTTCTGATTTATTGAATGATTAGTTTTTTGGATTAGGTTTTTTTTGGCTTTTGTTTGTGTTTATTAGGTTTGATTTTTGATTTCTTATGTTTTTGAACTTGTTTGATTTTGATTTGTTGTTTTGTTGATCAGTTTGTAAGTTTGCTGGAATTGGATTTATTGTTTACTGGTTTGTTTTGATTATTTGATGTTTTGGTTGAATGTGGTTGATGAAGACATAAATTAATTGATTTCTAAGCCATTAGGGTTAATGTAGCACAAATGTATGCTTCGTTTGTTTAATTTAATATCGTATTGGATATTTGATTGTTGCTTTTTTGAAAGTAATTGTGTTTAATTTTTAGCTCTTGAATTGATTAAGACCTAAATTAAATGATTTCTAGGCTAATTGGGGTTAATGTTAGGTTACTGTGGTTGTCGCTGTATGTATTTGTATTGGTGACTTGGATGGTTCCGGGCGGCGGTGTATGTTTTATTGAGTATACTCAGAAAAGGTATCCTCTTCCAATTATAGATTATTTTAGGGTGTTAGGCTTGTAGTTTTGGAGAAAGGTTCGAACTTAGAAGAGGTGGTTTTTTGTAAGTGACTTTGGGGTTATCTGATTGGATTGGTATTGTGAATGGTTGTGCTGGTTTGTGTTTTACGGTGATATTACCTCAATTGGAATTTTGGTGGCCAGAATCTACAAACTGTAGATTGGCTTCCGGTTGTTGTGTTGTTTAATTAAGTTTAATCTGCTGAAATATAGAGGTTGAAACAGGATCCCTTTGTAATTATGGGTTATGGCATACATGTGCTATAATTCACTAATTTATAATTGTCATTTCGGCTTCAAAAAATTATAATATAATAACCCCTGCTAGTATGATGTGTGAAATTCTACTTGATCTAGCTGTATAATAGATTACCGTATTTGTTTGGCTTGGTAAATCTTCTATGGTTTAGATGATTAAATAGCTGTTATTCTTACAAAATTTTGTGTTTGGCAGCGAACATTGAAAGCTGGAAAATTGAATGAGAGGATTCTTAATTTGTTCATAGCTTCCGGCGACGACAAACTTCTTTCCTTTATCAAGGAGCTCAACATCAGGCCAGTATATACTCCAGTTCTTCCCACTCGTAAGTCCTGGACTCCTGGGTCTTGGCCTATTGTTGATTCATTGTATCATAGGTTGAATGTGTTTTATTCTGATATATACCATTTTTTGCTTTCAGCGTGTGGCGGATACATCTTATGATCTTCTTTGATATCCATAGTTAATTGTTGGTGGACTATAATTGTGTTTTTGTAATACTCCATACTTTGTTCAAACACCCAAAAATGGCAACTCAGTTCAGCATTAAGGATGATGATGTAGATATTGTGATTGGTGCTCTACAGTCTGATCTCACGTCTTTTATGAATGCATGGAAACCCATATTCTCTCGGTTTCACTTGATTATAGTCAAAGACCCTGAATTGAAGGAAGATCTGAAGATTCCAGATGGATTTGATGTCAAGATATATACAAAAGCAGACATGGACAAGACTGCTGGAGCGTCACTGACTTCCCAGCTTTTCTCTGGCTATTCATGTCGCTACTTTGGCTATCTTGTCTCCAATAAGAAATATGTTATCTCGATTGATGATGATTGCATCCCAGCCAAGGATGATAAAGGATTCCAAGTGGATGCTGTTGCCCAGCATCTTTTTAACCTTGCAGTCCCTGCCACCCCTCTCTTCTTCAATACACTTTATGACCCATTTTGCAAGGGAGCTGACTTTGTTCGTGGATACCCATTTAGTATGCGAGAAGGGGTGCCTTGTGCTCTCTCGTGTGGCCTCTGGCTCAATTTAGCAGACTTGGATGCTCCAACACAAGCCCTCAAGCCTGAGCAGAGGAACACTAGATATGTGGATGCTGTTCTTACTGTTCCGGCAAAGGCATTGATGCCGCTTAGTGGAATCAACATAGGGTTCAACCGTGAGTTGCTGGGTCCTGCTTTGTTCCCCGGTTTGAAGCTGACAAAGGAAGGAAAGTTAAGATGGGAAACCATGGAAGATGTATTTTCTGGTATGTGTGTTAAGGTTGTGTGTGACCACTTGAAGTTTGGGGTGAAAACTGGTCTGCCTTATGTCTGGAGAGAGGAAAGGGGTGATGCAGTTCAGAGCTTAAAGAAAGATTGGGAGGGTATGAAGCTGATGGAGGATGCAGTTCCTTTCTTCGAGTCTATCAAATTGCCTGCTGAAGCAGTTAAAGCTGTGGATTGTTTATTGGAGGTAGCAAAACTGGTCAAGGAAAGGTTTGCGGCTGAAAAGAATTCTGTATTTATTCAAGCTGCTGATGCCATGACCGAGTGGGTTAAGCTATGGAAGAAGGTTGTACCAGCCTCCAATTAGATATTTGGAAGGGCAGATGACGTAGAATTCACTGTTAATTAAGTCATATACAGTAGTTATTGGGAACCTGAATTGGCGATGTTTTACTTGCTAAGGTGGCTATGCTTGTTCACTTACAGCCTTGTTTTCAAAATCGTGTTGATTACAGATATTTCCGTACTATGTTAATTGTTGATTAGGGATATTGCCCGTTGTTGGAATATAACTTCTGTGACTTATTTACATGATTACTTTAGTCATCTATCTAATTCCTTGGCTTAAAAACCTACAAAAATTTCTTCTTGTTGTCCAACCCAATTTCTGTCCAATTTAGACTGATCTTGTGTCTTAAGAGAAGAAATTTTGAATTTTGCTGCATTGGTGATTGTTATTGCTTTTGTAGTTCTTGATGTGCAATAATTATACCGCGACAATTGAGTGGTATACTGGTATTATCACTCATTCACTCTCAAATGCTCAAGATCTAGGATTGAACACTGTTTAAATTAGTGCTCCATTTTGAGAATCAACATCAAAATTAGCCTCCTTAAATTGATGTTGAACATTCGTTTCTTTGATTAACAGCAAAATTTTGTCTAGTTTGTTGCCTCAAGATCTAGTGGCAAGTTTCCTTAGCTTCTTCCTCTCCCATATCATGAGGATGCATTTTTGGAATCTGATTGAGGAAATATAATAGCAATGAGTTAGGCTTGGATTCGTACTCAATACTCCGTATTACATAAGAAATTTATGCTAAAAGACATTAACCTTGTTGTGGGTAAAAATACCCCGTATACATGGACCAATCCCATAGTGACACATGGCCCAGTTATAGGACGACACATGTCACCACGGGAAGATGCCACGTAATTCAGAGCCCTTAAAGCCGCAGGTCAATCTCGTCGCGACACGTGGCCCAGTCAGAGGGTGACACGTGTCGTCACGAGAAGATGCCATGTGTTAAGGACATTTGTTCCCTTAACAATCAACATGCCAGAAAACCCTAGCAACGTCAGGGCCCAAATCCCGAGAGATAACAATGGAAGCCGCAAAACGGCGCCCCCAGAGTAGCACGTGGCATCCGCTGATTGCACAGCCAATCACGTCACGCAAATCTAGGGTATAAACCGTAGAGAAGGGCACAAGTCCCACCCCTATAAATACCCCAATCATTTATGATGGGAGGGGGATTCAGACAATTGAAAATAACAGAGCATTAAATAGCTTCAACTTCTCTCTACTTTCTCTCTATAGCCTTTTCCGTTCTGATCACTGACTTGATCGTCGGAGGCGAATATTCCGTTGATCGGAATATTCGTTGTTTTGCAGGTGGGACCAACTCATTGCTAGAAGAGCGTGACCAGTATCCCAGGAAATCCAAAAAACACCCGAAACATTTGGCGCCGTCTGTGGGGATACTCGTACGTTATGGCGATAGATGGTCAGACACCTAATCCAGGCGAGGATGGACATGTAGAGGATTTAATCCCTACGATCCGTACTAGTGATCCTCTGATAGCCACATTTGAAGAAGCTGATGACCCTCCTGTTACCGCTGCCTCTCTTAAGGCCGCGCTCAAAAAACTCAGAAAAGAAATTGAAAATGGAGCCTCTACCTCTAGGCAGCCGCCCAGGAGAGAGGAACAGAGGGCTCCAAAGAAGACACACAGCAAAGCGGTCCATGCAACGGACGCTGGAAACACTCCCTTTCGAAGGCCGACTGGAAGGTCCCCGAGAGTACCGCGGACTAATTTCTCTGACTTATTGGCGAAAACGCAGTCGGCTGGGGGGAGGGGTAGGCAGCCTCGAAGAGAGGAGCCTGAGCCGTCCAGACGATGGATGGACGCAAGAGATTACCATCGGCATAAGCAGCAGGAGCGCGCCGCCTACTCGGACACGGCCTCAACCCCAACTATGCCAGATGATTTTTCACATCATTCTCTTTCCTAGCATACCAACACGGCCATCACCAGCGGAAGTCAGGCGGTCCGCACCCCAACTCCTATTCCAGTCTTTCATGCCCCAACTCCCATTATAGCCCAATCACTGCAATATCCGCCTCCTCAGGGGTTCAATGGCTTGATGCAGCCGAACCCCCAGGCATATGGACAATATGGACCATACGGGCAGGTGTACGGACAGGCTCCCTATCTGGCTGGACCGTCCGTGCAACCGCAACCCATCGATTGGCAGATGCGCCTACTTACTCTGGGAGATAAGCCGCCCCCGTTTTCGCAAGATATCTTAAATGCCTCTCAGCCACCAAAGGTGAAGAGTGTACTTGTGGGAGCCTATGATGGCACGGGCAACCCAGAAGAGCACATCACCTCGTACAGGAACCTGATGTACTTGCAAAGCGTAGATGATACTACTTGGTGCAAATGTTTCCCGGCCACTCTGAAAGGTGTGGCGCAGGATTGGTTCAACAGTTTGCCGGCCGGATGTATCAATTGTTTTACTACTCTTAGTTTGCTGTTCGTGGGAAATTTTTCATACAATATACCGCCTCGAAAGACTAGTCTTAACTTGGCGACAATCGTCCAAGGAAAAACTGAGGGCTTACGCTCATACGTCCAGCGATTTAACCAAGAAAAAGCCCAAATTCATAATCTGCCGGATGAAATGGCTTACTCTGAATTTCTCCGGGGATTAAGGCACAATGGTTTTAAATTTGACTTGGTAAGGAAAAAGATTCGGACATACGCAGGTGTTCTGCGGGAAGCCGAAGCTTACATTGAGGCGACAGACTTTTGTTCGCTCACAAATTAAAAACAGAAGCGCCGGCCAAGGGGGCTGAGAAAAAATCTCCTCAGCAAGACTCGGCCGGCCAAAAGAAAGAAGGAAAGAAGAGAAAGGAAGTCTGGGTGGCTGACGCCCAGTCACAGAAGTCCAAGAAGGTCAAGGCGTACGAGCCCCAGTTTGAATTCAACAAGGATTGTTATTCTATCTTGATGGAAATCAAGGATAAGTTTGAGTTTGAGAAGCCACAGCCGCTGAGAGGCCCGGCTCAGTATAGGAACAAGAACAAGTATTGTCATTACCACAAGGACATGGGACATGACACAAATGATTGTATCAACTTGAAGAGACTGCTGGACAAGTTAGCCGAGAAGGGCATGCTGAATTCATATGTGATGAAGTCCAAATTCACTTACACACGGACAAACAACACGTTCGAGCAAAGACAGAAGAATGATAAGAACAAATATAAAGAAGATGATGGCAACATCACTGATTCAGGCTTTGTGGCCATGATATCAGGAGGATTTGCTTCAGGCGGCCCTACTATGAGGGGGATCAAGCAGGACGCCCACAACTTGGGTAAAGTAATGCAAATGGTTTCTGTGAAGGCCGAACCTTTCCCCGAAGTAGTCATCAGTGAAGCTGATCGGGGGGAGGTCAAAGCCTTGCACAATGATCCCATGGTATTCATTATGAAGATAGCCAACTTGAAAGTCGGACGAATATTAATTGACACGGGTAGCTCGGCTGATATCATCAGCCTGGCCGCCTTGAAAAATCTAAGCTTCCCAGAGGATGCTCTCCAGGACATCACTCACCTGTTGGTTAGATTTGGGGGGAATGTCATCCACCCAGTGGGACGGATTGACTTACCTGTCCGATTCGGGCAAAAAGGGGAAGGAAGAGATATGGTTGTCCGCTTCTTGGTTGTGAAAGAACTGACTGGATATAATGTCATACTCGGACGTCCTACACTGAATGCAGCAAAAGCAGTCATTGTGCCTCACCTAATGCTGCTAAAGTTTGAGAGGACGGACGGGAAAATAGGCACGATCCAAGGAAGTCAGAAGATGGCAAAAGAATGTAATCAGTTGGCAGTTAAGCCTATAACGCGCGGACCAAAATCGTCCGAGCCAAAAGAAGAAGAAACCTCACTCCCAACACAGCAGGTCGGCCAGAAGCGTAAGGCGGCCAAGATAGAGCAAGCATAGCAGCTAATGACTGTCGGTCGGCCGGACGAGTTACGACCACAGCCGGCCGGCAGTCACCAAGATATAGTACTCGACCCCGATCAACCAAGTCGGATGGTTAGTGTAGGCACCATAGCTGTGGGAGTGCTTGGGGATGAGTTAATTCAATTGTTGAGAGAGTTCAAAGATGTATTTGCATTTGATGTTGGCGAGATGTCAGGCATAAGCCCTAACCTGGCCGTGCACAAATTGGTTGTAAACCCGGCCGTTAAACCCGTCCGCCAGAAGAAAAGGAATCATGGAGAGGAGAGGAATCAGGCGGCCGCAGCAGAGTTCAAGAAGCTTCTGGACGCCGGTTTCATTCGGCAATGTTATTACCCAGAATGGGTGACCAATGTGGTCCTTGTGAAGAAGCCGAATGGAACTTGGAGAATGTGTGTGGATTACACCGATCTAAACAAGGCATGCCCTAAGGATAGCTTTCCCCTGCCCAAAATCGACCGCCTGGTTGATTCGACGGCCGGGCATGCCCTGATGAGTTTTATGGACGCATACTCTGGATTCCATCAAATTCCATTATGGGAAGAAGACCAGGAGAAAACAGCGTTCGTGACTGAGCAGGGGTTATATTGTTACAAAGTTATGCCATTCGGCCTTAAGAATGCCCCAGCTACCTTTCAACGACTTGTTAATACAGTCTTCAGAGATCAGCTCGGCCGGAATATGGAGGCGTACATTGATGACATGATTGCCAAATCAAAAGAGCCGGCCGATCATTTGAAGGATCTACGAGAAACTTTCACCGAACTCAGGCGGCATAAGATGATGCTAAATCCAAAGAAATGTGTCTTTGGTGTTGAGTCCGGTAAATTTCTCGGATTTTTAATTGATCAACGTGGAATTGAGGCCAACCCTGAAAAAATCCAAGCTGTCATGGACATGAAGTCACCAAGGACAATTAAAGAAGTCCAAAGATTAACCGGCTGTTTAGCAGCACTTGGTAGATTTATGTCAAGATCAGGGGACAAATGCTGTTATTTCTTTCAAATCATAAAAAACAAAGCCATGTTTGAGTGGACAGAGGAGGCCGAGGAAGCATTCGTACAGCTAAAAGGCCATCTACATACATTGCCTCGGCTTGTCAGTCCACTTAAGAGCGAGAAGCTATTTATCTATCTTGCCATCTCAGAACACTCCTTAAGTGTCGTCCTACTTGCTGAACGGGACGGCCGCCAGATCCCTGTCTACTTTATCAGCCACGTACTTCATAACGCCGAGTTAAGGTATCCCCCTATTGAAAAATTTGGTTTGGAATTATACATGGCATCAAAAAAGCTGCGGCCATACTTCTTGGCACATTCAATTGTGGTCTACACAGACCAACCTCTGAAGAAGCCATTTACAACTTTAGAGGCAAGCGGTCGTATGCTTAAATGGGCCTTGGAAATGAGAGGCTTTGACATTGCATTTAAGCCAAGAAAAGCAATTAAGGGCCAAGCCTTTGCTGATTTTTTAGCTGAAATGACTCGACCGGATCTTCAGACGGCCGGCGGTCAAATCTGGAAAGTGTTCGTGGATGGTAGTGCGACAGCTACTGGCTGTGGTGCAGGTGTTATATGTCAGTCTCCTGAGGGAGACAAGTTTGAATATGCTCTGAGATTTTAGTTTCAAGCCTCTAATAATGAGGCCGAGTACGAAGCCCTCTTGGCCGGCCTTAGAATGTGTAAGGCGGCAGGAGCGACAAAAATTGATGTATGCTCGGACTCCCTACTTGTAGTCGGCCAGGTGAATGGAGACTTCGAGGCGAGGGAGCCGGCCATGATAAAGTACTTAAAGATTGTAAAAGAGGAGGCCGAGAGCCTAGATCATTTTACTCTACAGCAGGTCCCTCGTTCGTCCAATCATCAGGCGGACGCACTCTCTAAGTTAGCATCCTCAGCATCATGTGATACTCCCAGGTCAGTGTTTTGGGAAGTGAAATAAAAGAGGAGTATTGACGCTGAAACAGTACACGCCATTGATAGAAGCTCCACTTGGATGGACGGGATCATATCTTACCTAAAGGATGGATTACTCCCGGCCGATCCTAAAGAGAGCTGGCTGATGAAAAAGAGAGTAGCCTGGTTTGAAATTAAGCAAGGAGAGTTGTTCAAAAAGGCATTTGTAAGGTCGTACCTGAAATGCATCACTCCCGAGAGAGGGCATGATGTCTTGAATGATCTTCACCAGGGGCAGTGTGGTTCTCACATTGGAGGACGAGCTTTGGCTGAAAAGGCTACCCGCCTGGGTTACTACTGGCCGAGCTTAAAGTCGGACGCAATGAAAATGGTAAAGAAGTGTGACAAGTGCCAGAGGTTCGCAACATTAATTCACCGGCCTGCCAACAGTCTTTCGGCCATCAGCAGTCCGCTCCCCTTTGCCAAATGGGGGATGGACATTTTAGGACCGTACACACTAGCGTCCGGCCAGAGGCGGTATATGTTTGTAGCAGTAGACTACTTCACAAAATGGGTAGAGGCCGAGGCCGTCCGGGGCATCAAATGGACGAATGTTTCAGCTTTCATATGGAAGAGTATCATTACACGCTTTGGCGTTCCTCAGTATATGGTGTTTGACAACGGACCTCAGTTCGAAACGCCTCAACTCAAAGAATGGTTGGAAGACCAAGGCATAGCTCATTGCTTTGCTTCAGTCGGCCGTCCACAAGCAAATGGTCAGGTAGAGGCATACAACAAATTGATCTCCAATGGAATTAAGCGCAAGCTTGAAAGAGCAGGCGGCTTATGGGCTGACGAGTTAGTCAATGTGCTGTGGTCCATACGAACCACGGCCAAGAGTTCCACAGGAGAAACTCCCTTCTTCTTAGTCTATGGTGCCGAGGCGGTCCTTCCAATTGAAATGTATGAGCCCACCCTTAGGGTAATGCTATATGATGAAGCGACCAATTGGGAAGCCATGAAGACTGCCCTAGATTTCCTTCCTGAAGCCAGGGGCAACGCGGCACTTAAACACGAAATCTATCGTCTACGGATGACAAGGGCGTACAATCGTCGAGTGTCTAGGCGGCCGATGAAGTTGGGAGATTTGGTCCTAAGAAAGATGGAGGCTGTGGGACGAGCAAATGAAGATGGGAAGCTGACCCCAAATTGGGAAGGGCCGTATCGAGTCAGGGAAGAAGTCCGAGATGGGACTTATCGTCTCGAAGCCATGAACGGCCGACCCATTCCGCGTACATGGACAATCTTAAGAGATATTATGTTTAAGTACTTAGCCAAAAGCTGTGTATACAGCTAGGTTTGTTGACCGAGCAATGTAAGCCGTACGGCCACAACAATGTAATTTTGACAAATTAATGAAAAGTCAAACATTGTTATAATTATTTTTTCCATTTAATTTATGCTTATTTGCACAGTCATAATTTATACGGCCGCGTGAAATTTGCAAGTAGGTTGCTTGCAACATAGCAACTCGGTCGCAGAATAAAAGTAAATTACATGAAATAAGAATGGGCAACTTGATCCCAAGTCATATGAATGCGTCCGCCCTTAATTAAGGCGGACGGAAAAGGTAAGGTGGCCTGTGAAACCCATATAATGGGGCAAAGGCATACCTAGGCATTCCAGCCCAGCCGAACATGAAAATTTTGAGTTGAGATCATACTTGGAATTTTCTGAGTGCGTCCGAGCGATAGTTTCAACGGACAAACTCACATAAAGCCAATTGAACGACCAATTAATGTGTTGATTCGGCGTACCACCTAGTCCAAGGGCAATCATTATTATGATTTGATTAACTTGGTAGTAGTCATACCGCCTAAAGCATAAATTCTACCAAGTCAATCAAACCACCCAAAATATGGACTAGGCGAACACCGAATAAAGGGGCATACCCCACAATTGTACGAAGATATAAAAATACGCGTACATAAAATTAGGGTTGTCAAACAGGTCGTGTCGTGTCGGATTCGTGTTCGCGTCGATGTTAAACGGGTTGAAAAACCCTTGACCCAAACCTAACCCATTTATTAAACGGGTTGAAAACCCTTGACCCAAACCTAACCCGCTTATTAAACGGGTTACCCGTGTAACCTTTTACCCATATAGTATGTAATAAACTATAATATTCAATATAAAAATTAAAAAGACATACATCATTAATTCATTAATGATACTACAAAAGTTTAAAGTTAGTAATTATAGCAAAAGTACTACAAGAATTTAAAGTTGGTTGCTTTAGCAGCACAACCATACATAAGAATTATCCCAAATTAACAACCAATTTAATTTACAAAAGTTGAAATTTATTTTATCCGCCAAATTAACTGCCAAAAATTACCTAAATGTATACATGGTGCCAAGGCAATTTACAAAATTACAAGTTTAGAACAAAATTTTCGGTTTTTGTTACTACTTTATTAATAGGTTAAGCGTGTCGGGTTCGGGTTAGCGGGTTTTCGTTCAACCCATTTATATAATTGGGTTACGCGTGTCGGTTTCGGGTTGAAAATTTCAACCCAAACCTAACCCGTTTAATTTTGTGTCGGGTTCGTGTCGACCCAATTATGTAAACGGGTCGAGAATACTTGACCCAAACTCGCTTATTTCGTGTCGAGTTCGTGTCGGGTTTTCGTGTCGTGTCAGCTTTTGACAGCCCTACATAAAATCGCTCAAATATGAAAAGTACGCGTACGAAAATGCGAAAACTTGTTAAGTATAAAATGTGCAAAGTATGAAGCAAAATTTGGAAGCTAAATCAATAAAAGGGCCGCTCAAAAGGCGGTAAAATATCTTACATAAAACCGCTCGAAAAGGCGGTTGAAAAAGTCAAGAAAAAATATACATAAATGATTAACAAGGCAGAAAAATAAAGCTGAAATCATGGGGCGTCTGGAGCAGAAGCTGGACTCTGGCCTGGGCCGAGCTCTTGAACGATGGCAAGGGACGCGTCATCTGCGGGCGCCTCCTTGCTCTCAGCCTCACCGTCTTTGCTGGCCGCCACTTCTTCGATTTCCCCCTCCTCTT